CTGCACAGCGAATCCCTTCATATTAAGGTCCATTCAAACCAAACGAACAAAAAACTAGAGCAGGAACAAGGGCTTTCTTTCTTGTTCTTCTAGTGTAAACGAAAATTCCTTTTAAGAGTTTACACCAAAATAATGTCATTGAGCAAGAATTCACATCCTTCTCGAACAAAGAACTAGAATCCTGCACAGCGTTTAGATCAAACGAATGCTCATGTAATCGATAGCTATATGTACTCTAATCACTAGAACACAAGAACGCTTTGAAGGGACCGCTCCGATGAGCGAACACCTCCGAACATGCAAGTACGCTCTAAGCAACTGTTCGCACGCTCTAGGGCCGTTTACACCAAGTGAACTAGATATAAAAGATACAATAAAAGAATTTAATAGAGTGGGAATAGAATGAACATTCGCTCGTTTGGTTTGAATCGACCTTTACAGCGGCTGTAGCGCGCGCGGCTAAGCGGCGACACCACGCTACCGCGCGGCGCGCTAGCGAGAGTCGCGCTTCACAGTCGCGCTGCAGACGCGTGTTGGACGCGGGAATGACTGGTTCATTTTCAATATGCATTCAAACTGAGACACACTGTTTCTACTGTTTCATTTTAAAGATTTCTGTATCTAATACAAACATGGAAGTAGCAGTTATTGGATAGATTCTATAACCCACGTCGATGTGTCACCGTCGGCTACTCAGAGCGCTGTTCGATTCTGTGGCGCGAATGTCGCGCTATATAAATTGAATACTCAGTCGTGTTGCTGCAGCGCGACTTAGAAGCGCTGTAGTTGCGCGACAAAAAATCCTATTATCTAAAGCGTTCAGTTAAAGTGTGATACGCTGTATAGTATAGTACATAGCTATAGCTAGCAGCACCTGTGATTTCTATGTATAAGCAACTGTACAACTACTTGTTTACACCAGTGTATAATAATATTTTTTTCTTTTCTCTCTTCCACGCATCCCACCGGACTACAGGGGCCGTCTCCACAGTTGATTATAGTAAGTGTTCAATACTCGCACTATGGGTTTAACCGCTAACCGCTTGTCTAATGGGACTCATTGCTCTCTTTGGTGTTTGGTATTTTACACTCGTATTAATAAGTAAGCGTTTACGGAATAATAGATCTTTTAAACAAAATAATGTAAAATGGATTTTTTTTACATCAGGAAAGAATATTTTTTAGATAAAAGTTGCCTTTTATTATAAGTATGTTCCTCATGAACTTTCTTCAAATTGGTTTAAAAAACCTGACAGGTTTTGATTGTTCTGCCAAAATATAAGGAAATGAAGCTATGTAAAAAACATGATCTTTTGTCCGTTCGTATATTGATGGCAATACCCGATAATTTGGTATTATATTGGGTACATCTAAAGATGTCTCGTATAGAAACTTTTTCTCATCATTCTCTCGCTTCTGTGAACAATTATATCACATAAAATTAAATCATTATACGGTTTTAAAATTTGTTATATAGCTTGTTATTATTTAAAATACATATAACTGCTTATAAGGAAACGGTCACAAATGAATATTGAAGAAATACACAAAAAAATGTAACCTGTAGTTTCTTATTTCACATAAATTTCAATTGATGTTTTGGTCGTCTTAAAGTCTCAAAATCACCCTTATTTTCATAAGGGTAATTTTGGGTATGGTTTTATTGAATGCATTGGGCAATTTTGTAAGCATAAAGACATTATTTTTTGTGAAATACCACAGTAAAAAAGTTTTTTGTATTCATTTCATGATTTTAATTTATTTTTGTATTAATTCATAATTAAATGTAGTCGATAAAGGAATTCCAATATATTTATAGCATTCACCGTTGGACATGTCCAATGAAGTGAACACTTGTGTAAGAACAGTAATTTCCTTTGAGCTATAACTATTGTTCCGATAACGAAATAGTTTCGTACTGCGTCAACGATATGCCACAATGAGACCATAGTGTGTAGGTACATTCGACAGCACATCACGTTATACGAAACTCGCATAATGCACTTGATATTTCAATCTTAATACGTTGCTCGTGGAGAACGAAATAGATTGCGAGATTTTAAGATTTTGTGATAACCTGATGTGTGATATGCTACTGTGTTTAACTAGAGGCTAGTGCTTATAGCTTATATTAACATATTAACTTTGCATATAACTCATCAATAACTACATAATTACCGTTAAAGTATAATTTATGAATATGTATGCAATAAATTACAAATATCGTATAATTATATAAATATAAATACACCAAGCTATTTTGAAAGTTTTCGTCTAGTTTTGGATCTTCGTTGATAAATTATCAAGACTTGTTATCAATTCAATGATCAGTTATTAATTTAAATGCTTTGTGTTTGTCAAACTGGATGTAGGGTTTAAAGCAAGCCATATACGAATTTTTTATCACATTGTTATAGCTTATTTTCACACTTTCAACGCTATAATGATAGTTTCATTTCACGCTGCTATTTTCCTGTAGAGCATTGGACCTACGTTTGAGGTAACACGTTAACCACCCCATTCATCACCTATGACACAAGTATAGTGTATTATAAAAGTTTAGCGATGATATCGTAAGTAATACCTACAATATCGAAAAGAAATACATAGGTATTACGAAACGCTAAACATTTAAATATTAAAAAAAAACAATAGCTTAATAATACTATAAGTATTTGACAGATAATTGTCAATTAAATTATTTTTCCAATATTACTAGAACGTCTCGAAATAACCCAGAATCTCTTAGATATAGAGTAGATCCAATATAACTTTAGTTAGATCAGATTTCCTTACTGTGTTCTTATTAAAATGGATTGCACATCCAGAGCAAGACAAACTCAACGGGTGGCGCTTAAGCAGTTTTTTTTTCTAAACACTACACTAGATGCTTCCCATTTAGATTTAAATATTTTATAAGACACTAGTGCAATTTGAACTCAAATCAACTTGCTTTAAGGTAATTTTTCGTTTGTACTGTCTTTAATCGTTAAGGATCATGCATTGTAGACTACGTGCGGTGCGTCGATACTATCTTTAGATCATCGATGTTTCCGCAAATTGATTGTGGTGCAGTGTTGTACTTATATGCAAAATGAGGCATAGATACATGTCTATTGTGCATTCCAATTGTATATTCGCATCGCATGCTGTCCTAACATATCTTCAGATCTACATCGAACAGTGTAAATGTCCATATAAATGTTCAATTCAAATTGTAACCTAAATTCGTTTCTTTGTAGGGTGAATTGGAACAACAGCTACTGCAAGCTAACCCCATATTAGAAGCCTTCGGTAATGCTAAAACAGTTAAAAACGACAACTCGTCGAGATTCGTAAGTATTTCATACGAGGGTCAAACTGAAAGTTCTTAGAACTGGCCACTTATAAACAATATAATAAAAAAATAATTCTAAAATTTGAAAATATAACTCTTTGCCAATATTACTGAGTATATATTTCATTCATTTGTCATTTGTTTTACGATTTGGCGGCAAATTGAAAATTGTCTGTGTCACGTCATCATGAATTTAACACGAGAAAATTTTCGTGCAATGATTTTTTATGACTTTCGATGTCATTTAAGTCAACAAGAAAGTTATGATAGACTACGATTGGCCTTTCACGATGAAGCCCCATCTCGTGCGACTGTTTACAACTGGTTTAATGAGTTTAAACGTGGTCGCACTAATCTCACTGATGATTTACGTGAGGGACGGCCTTCTACGGCGACGACTGAAGATAACATCTGTGTTGTGCGGCGTATGATAGAGACTGACAAAAGAGTGACCTATCAACAGATTCGGACAAGCTTAGGCATCGGTATGAGTCAAGTGCACAAAATCCTCCACGAACATTTAGCGGTCAGGTCAGGAAGCTTTGCGCCCGGTGGATACCTCATAATTTGACTGAGGCTCAAAAACTCCATCGTGTGGATTGGTGTCGTAAAATGATTGAAAGATTTAACGGAGGTGACTCAAATGCTGTGTTCGACATACTAACAGGTGACGAAAGCTGGATTTACTGTTATGATCCTAAAACCAAAAGACAATCTGCTCAGTGGGTGTTTCCTTTCGAGGAGTTGCCAACTAAAGTGAAGAGAGATCGAAGTGCGGGAAAAAAAATGGTGGCTTCGTTCTTTGGAAGGATAGGTCATTTTGCAACAATTGTGTTAGAGGATCAAAAAACAGTTTCTGCAGAATGGTACACTACCAATTGTTTACCACTTGTCTTGGAAAAAGTTCGAGAGAAACGACCTCGCAGTAGGATCCTCCTTCACCACGACAACGCCTCGTCGCACACCGCCAAGCGAACGATCGACTATTTGGCGACATCAAACGTTGAATTACTGGGTCACCCGCCGTATAGCCCCGACCTCGCGCCTTGTGATTTTTATTTATTTCCAAAAATTAAAGAAATACTTAAAGGAAAGCGGTTTATGAATGCTGAAGAAGCGGTGGCTGCGTATCGCGATGCCATTGAAGAGACCCCTAAGGACGAGTGGGCAAAGTGCTTTTCCCAGTGGTTCCATCGCATGCAGCGGTGTATTGACGTGAATGGACAATATTTTGAAAAGATATAATAAAACTTATAACTGGCTAATGTAATCAGTTTTTGATTTTCTAAGAACTTTCAGTTTGACCCTCGTATTTCTAATATTCAAAAAATTACTTCTGAACGTATATATAGAAAATTTGTTGACTAATCAACAATTTTTGGCTTTGTTTTAGGGTAAATTTATTAGAATAAATTTCGACGCATCAGGCTTCATAGCAGGCGCGAATATTGAAACATATTTACTAGAGAAATCGAGAGCTATCAGACAAGCGAAGGACGAGAGGACATTCCATATATTTTATCAGCTTTTAGCTGGCGCGACACCACAGCAGAAGGCCGAGTATATTTTAGAAGATCCTAAAAGCTATCCGTTCTTGACAAATGGCTCGTTGCCAGTGCCTGGCATTGACGACGCAGCAGAGTTCCAAGCTACTATTAAATCTATGAACATCATGGGCATGAACATGGAAGATTTCAACTCCATCTTTAGGATAGTTTCCGCGGTTTTACTCTTCGGTTCTATGCAGTTTAAGCAGGAGAGGAATTCGGATCAGGCCACGTTGCCTGATAATACAGTTGCTCAAAAGATCGCACATTTATTAGGTAAGAAAAATATCAAGATTCTTTTAATTAAATTGCTAAGTAGAAATTACGCGAAAGAAGGGTATTAAGAGTACAAATTTTTGTTTTCGTTTTAGGTCTTTCAGTAACAGAAATGACAAAAGCATTAATCAAACCGAGAATAAAAGTGGGGCGGGATTTCGTAACCAAAGCGCAGACCAAGGAGCAAGTTGAATTTTCAGTAGAAGCTATTGGAAAAGCCTGCTACGAGCGCTTATTTAGATGGCTCGTGAATAGGATAAACCGGTCTCTAGATAGGACGAAGAGGCAAGGAGCTTCTTTCATCGGTATTCTAGATATGGCTGGTTTTGAAATCTTCGATTTGAACTCCTTCGAACAGCTATGCATAAACTACACGAATGAAAAGTTGCAACAGCTGTTCAACCACACTATGTTTATTCTCGAACAAGAAGAGTACCAACGCGAAGGCATCGAATGGAAATTCATCGACTTTGGCTTAGATCTGCAGCCTACTATCGACCTTATCGACAAACCTATGGGAATAATGGCGCTCCTCGATGAAGAGTGCTGGTTCCCCAAAGCGACAGATAAGACATTCGTTGAGAAGTTAGTCTCAGCGCACTCTGTTCATCCTAAGTTCATGAAGACAGATTTCCGCGGTATCGCTGACTTTGCGATCATACATTACGCGGGCAAAGTAGACTATTCTGCAGAAAAGTGGTTAATGAAGAATATGGACCCACTTAACGAAAACGTAGTCTCTTTATTACAGTCCTCGCAAGATCCATTCGTATGCCACATCTGGAAGGATGCCGAGATAGTTGGCATGGCGCAACAAGCGATGACCGATACCCAGTTTGGCGCCCGAACGAGAAAGGGTATGTTCAGAACAGTTTCACAGTTGTACAAGGAACAACTGACAAAGCTGATGGCCACACTCAGAAACACGAATCCCAACTTCGTGAGATGTATAATACCTAACCATGAGAAGAGGGCGGGCAAGATCGAAGCGCCTCTGGTTTTGGATCAGCTACGTTGTAATGGTGTCCTTGAGGGCATCAGAATATGCAGACAAGGTTTTCCCAATCGTATACCTTTCCAGGAGTTCAGGCAGCGCTACGAATTGCTCACTCCCAATATCATTCCTAAAGGTTTTATGGACGGCAAGAAGGCTTGCGAGCAGATGATCGAGGCTTTGGAGCTCGATCATAACTTGTACAGGGTTGGACAGTCTAAAATCTTTTTCCGAGCAGGAGTACTCGCTCATCTAGAAGAAGAGCGCGATTATAAGATCACTGATCTGATAGTCAACTTCCAAGCGTTCTGTCGCGGTTTTCTAGCGAGGAGAAATTATCAGAAGAGGTTGCAACAGCTGAACGCTATCAGAATCATCCAGAGGAATTGTGCTGCCTATTTGAAGTTGAGGAACTGGCAATGGTGGAGATTATACATTAAGGTAAATATACACGTAATTTTATAAGAATTTAGAAATGTGGGGGAATGTTTTGAAAACAGCCTTGGCTTCAATTATTGTCGGCAAGTTATGTAAATAATTTACCGAGACCTAAATGTTCAATAGACTATTATATTAGATATATAATTAAGTACACGTTTCGCGCCCGTCCGCTACCAACCTATTGTTAGTGAGAATTCAAAGCACATATTGTTTATATAATAATAAGGATAGTAGTTTCTTAAGTGAACAGGTGAGTGAGATGTTGTTTTAATATCTTTGGTAAAGTCGATATGAATATATCGGTGCTATATACGATTTTGCAACTCTTTGAAATCTTATTTAATTTTAATGCAACTAGTGTATCTGTCGGTTGGCTTGTGCTACTATTCTCATGCTTTATCTTTCGTTATTGGAATACGAATCAAGTATGTCGTTTAAAGTGATTTAATACATAGTAGTTATCTAACAGTTATAAACATAGCAGTTAGATAATTGCCACTAAAGCCCATTAGTAAAACTTGTTTCTTCCACATGTTGGAGATATTTGTTACAAGTTATTTGAGTGATTTTGCTGGATTGAATGTTTAATAAAAAGTCATAACTTCGAATATGCTACTCTTCGCGGCTAGTATTAAAATAACAATTTCGGGAACTTTGTAGAAATATTTTCAGCTAACTTTGATTTCCAGGTGAAACCTTTACTAGAGGTAACCAAACAAGAAGAGAAGTTAACACAGAAAGAGGACGAGCTAAGGCAAGTGCGAGAGCGATTCGAAGCGCAGGTGAAACGCTGCCAGGAGTACGAGCAGAAGTTCCAGCAGGCCAGCGCGGAAAAGACACAGCTGGCTGAACAGCTACAGGTAATTACAAATTATAAAATGCACGAATAAATGATTATTATAATATAAGACTGCCTCCAATGTATTAACTTGAACATATAATAATAAGACTGAAAGAGTTTCGGTGCTAATGGCTTGTTTTATTTTAGGCCGAATTAGAACTGTGCGCTGAAGCCGAGGAGAGTCGTGCACGAGCGGCAGCTCGCAAGCAAGAGCTGGAGGAACTGCTGCATGATCTGGAGGGAAGGATTGAAGAGGAGGAGGAACGCTGCAACGCACTGCAGCAGGACAAGAAACGGCTGCAGATAAACATACAGGTCAGTGCATTCTGCTGTGCTGTTTCACCACCTGAATATATTTTTTGGGATATCTACTTGTGATTCATTTTAATGACACTAAATATTATTTAACAGTCAATTATATTTCGTTATTGGTAGTTGTTGTTATTTTTAGCGTGGTAGTTATGGCTTTATAAAGCCGTGGGTGTTGTTTGCAAAATAGTTTTGTTTCAAGACAAGTGTGATTGTTAAAAAGTGACCGTAATATACAAATTTGGATGAATATTGTTGGCAAAATCCGCTCCGGATACATCACAATGTATTTTTGATACTAGGTGACATTTATTTCTTCTTCGTCATAGGATCTGGAAGAGCAATTGGAAGAAGAGGAAGCAGCTCGCCAGAAGTTGCAGTTGGAGCGTGTACAATGCGACGCCAAGCTCAAGAAGCTGGAGGAAGACCTCGCGCTCAGCGAGGACACCAACCAGAAACTGCTCAAAGAGAAGAAGGTAATACATACCAGATAAGATAATAAACTATGATTTAAATGGAGTTTTTGACATAGATAACAGAGACAAAACTATCAATTTAATTGAGGTGCAATAAAAGGTTTTAAACAGTCCAAAGCAGACGTGACTTCAATGGTTTTATGTTTGTGTTAAAACTATATAACAAAGAATGAAACGCTCATATAAAATAAAAGACTAAAAAAGAAAATGGGAAGTATTTTAATACCATCTAAATAATTTTTTTTTGTATAGATCCTGGAGGAGCGAGCGAACGATCTTTCTCAAGCCTTAGCAGAGGAGGAAGAAAAGGCGAAGCATCTCAGTAAACTCAAGACTAAACAGGAATCGGCCATCGCTGAACTAGAAGAAAAGTTACTAAAGGTACCTTTCGTAACGAAGTATGATGTAATAAATGTATTGATGATTTCAATGATACAGTTTATTTAAATACTGTTTCGATTAGAGAAGGGAAGATGTATGATATATTGTAACATTATGATACTAAGAAGATAAATATCTTAATAAAAAAATTAAAAATTTTGATTATTTATAACTAATAACAAGAATTACTAATTATTATCATTGTTTATAAAAATCGATTTTATTTGTGGTTCTCAGGACCACCAATTACGTCAAGAAGCGGATCGTGCTAAACGGAAGTTGGAGACGGAATTGCAAGATGTTCGCGAGCAGCTCGCCGAACGACGCGCGCAGCTCGATGAATTACAAGTTGTGCTCGGTGAGTATTAATATGACTGTTTTTCATTAGGACTACTTGTGCCTTTATATTCTAAATTCTCAAATACAGTCTCTGCTATTTTAAATCAATACGGTTTACCAAAAAAACCTATAGTCAACTTTTGGAATATAAAAAAATAAAAAGTCGTGTAGAGTTTTTGAAAAAGATATATAAATAGATTCAATTTATACAAATTTTTGGAAAGCTTTTGACTATGTCAATTAATAGGATATAGTGTCTAAAGTTGCTTACGGGAAGTATACCTGGTTTTTTATTGCGACGAATAGACAGTGCTAACAGGGCTCAATTAATTAATTTCAGTTTTAAATTTTTATATTTGTCTGAGTAATATTTTACAGGATTCTCGTTTAGGTCCATTTTTAATTATCGACTTTTATCGATCACTTTATAGAAAATTTTAGTTTTTTTTTTGTTTGTTGGATGCTAACAATTCGAAAAGTTTTTGTGTTCCACCTTCTTTAAACCTTCCCATATATACGTCTCGGGAAGTCATCTTAACTATTTTATTTCGTATCTAAAACCCGCGGTCTTTAACTGAGTACTCAGGACACGTGTTCTGTTTATTTATATGGTTACTGCAGGATATAATACCGTCGGGGGTCTAAAGCGTGCATTTAAGATTATTCACGTAAGGATTCGGGAAATGGAACTATTAATTGACTCGACGCGGTGGTATCGCAGCGAAGCGCGAGGAGGAGCTGGCGATGGCGATGAGCCGCGCGGACGAGGAGGGCGTGGCGCGCGCGGGGGCGCAGAAGGCGGCGCGCGAGGCGGCGGCCGCGCTGGCGGAGGCGCACGAGGACCTGGAGGCGGAGCGCGCCGCGCGCACCAAGGCGGAGAAGCTGCGCCGCGACCTCAACGAGGAGCTCGAGGCGCTCAAGAGCGAGCTGCTGGACTCGCTCGACACCACCGCAGGTGAACGCGCCACACTCTACACTGTACACTATACTGTACACTGTACTGTACACTGTACACTGTACTGTACACTATACACTGTACTCTATACTGTACACTATACACTGTACACTGTACTGTACCTACACTATACTATACTGTACACTATACACTGTACACTATACTGTACACTGTACACTATACTGTACACTATACACTGTACACTATACTGTACACTGTACACTATACTGTACACTATACTGTACACTACTGTACACTATACTGTACACAATACTGTGCACTGTGCTATACACTGTACTCCATACTATACATTATACACTGTTCACCAGTATATTATATATTATACACTATTCAACAAAAATAACTTTTTATTGTTATTGTCGATTGTTGATAAGTCCATTAATGGACTGCAGACTTTTATACATATACTCGCTCTTAAAGAAAATACTGCTCGATACCATAAGTTGAGGAAGACGAGGACAGAGAGGTAGAGCATCATCATCGATCATTCTAGAATTATTGTATGTAATTATAGAATCTCTATCCTGTAATATTTTTTGCATTAAATATAGATACATTATTTTTAAAAAGATGTATCATGACGCGCGACACGGGGAAGCAAGCGCACGTACGCAAGTAACCGGTCCGTACAACGCGATGAATTTTTACGTTTACCCTCACTTATTATTATATTAAATAATGAGTGAGCATAGTGGCTATTTTGCGATACATAGTGAAAGTGAAGGTGAGATGGAGTTTGAACAACAAAATCTAACGGGAAATAATTTGAGTAATTCGGATATCACATCCGAAGTTATTCGCGAAAAAAGAATGAGAAATGATAGTGAAGAAATAATAGACGAAGAAGGATATACTACCGTAAAAAGACGAGCAAAGCGCGTTCAGCGTAATTTTTTCACATTAAACACTCGGCCGTCACTGGATATTAATACTAAAGAAACAGTAAATATATTTGAAGTGTGCATTACTGCCAAAGAACGACTATTACCAAAACAAATTGCAATGGCAAAGCTACTCAAAGCAAATAAGATTACTAACATATTAAAAATTAAATACAAAAGTGGATATAAAGTGTTAATACAATTTGATACCAGAGAAAATGCAGAAAAACTTATACATTGTGAAGAACTAAATCTATTGGGTCTGAGATGTCAAATGAATAACGAATTAAACTCAAGTTAGGGAATAGTAAGACAAATGGATCTGGAAACAGATTTAAAAGAACTAAGTGAAGAACTTAAATGCGATTGTGAAATTATATCTGTAATAAGACTTCGTCGCTTGAACATTGACGGAACTTGGATAGATAGCGAAACGGTAAGAGTTTGCTTTAAAGGCCCTACTTTACCACCGTATGTATATGGATACGGTACAAGGTTTAAAGTGGAGCCATATACCTTTCCTGTCACTCAATGATCAGGCTGTTGGAGATACGGTCATATTTTAAAATATTGCCCCATAAAGAAAAAATTATGCCCAAAATGCGGCGCGGAACATGACAATTGTGAAACTACAAACTTTAAATGTTTAAATTGTAAAGGTACACATATGTCACTAGATAAATCATGCCCCGTTTTTTTGAAAGAAAAAGAGATACGGTGTATTATGTGTAATGATAATTGTACATATCGAAACGCTCTTATGAAATATAATAACGCGAAAAATCCAGGAAAGATATTAATAACACAAGAAGACAAAAGTATAAAAGACACAACGGCACAATTATCTCCAATACTGACGTATAAACAAGCACTACAAAAGACACAAATTCGTCAAGTTACTGAGGATACGAGTGAGACCGAAAATTATAACGTAAAGGACAATTCCAGAGATATTAAAACGCAGATACATAAAAAGAAAACAAATAAAAATAAAAATAAGGATTATTTAGAGCAAGAAATGGAATTGGAAACGGACGTAAACCAAGAAACAACACAAAATTCACAAGAACAAGAAAATTTGAGAAAGAAGAATAGGTCAGTTCTATTATTATTATTACAGAAATGCAAAGAAATACTGGCCACTGAAGAAAACTTTGAAGAAAAATTAAGGCTTATATTTCAAATATTATTGAAAGAACTAATATCGTGTGTAGTTAGAAGCTTAAAGAAAGGTGACATATGGCATAAATTTTTTGATCATTACATAAATGGTTAGTCAATCTATTACAAAAAGTATAGTCAATATCTACCAATGGAATGCACAAAGTATTAGGCCAAAACTGACAGAATTAGAAAACCTAATGACACGAGATAAAATACACATTTTGATTGTTAGTGAAACGTGGTTGGAGCCAGAAAGCTCCTTTCGTGTTAATGGTTACAATGTATTTAGAAAAGACAGGTCTGATTCATATGGTGGAGTAGCTATTTTAATACATATGTCACTTAAAGCACAACTCTGTAATATAAGCATCAATAATAATGGAATAGAGTTTGTATGCATTAAAATCTTAAACTGTAAATATATAAATAATGTAGTAAGTATATATTGCCCATCAACAATAAGAACGACACCAGCTGATTGGGAAGAGGTATTTTCTCTGTTCTCTTGCAAATCAATAATTGCGGGTGACTTCAATGGGCATCACACAAACTGGACAAATAAGAATGATGCGAGGGGCGTACAATTGGTAGATGTTTCATTAGAAAATAGCTTTATCTCTCTCAATGATGGCAGCCCGACTAGGATAAAATTAGAAAATAATAATTTACAGGAAAGCTCTCCCGATGTCACCTTCGTTTCCACAGATAATGCAGTTTATTTTGATTGGAAAGTTACAAATGAGAACCTTGGAAGTGATCATCTCATTATTAAAATAAAATTAAGCTATAATGAAAATATACCCTTTATTACCAAAAGAAATTTTAAAAATATAGATTGGACAAGTTATAGTAATTATGTAGAAGAATACTTAATTAACTTAAGTGATATACCGGTCGATGTTCAAGGTATGTACAATATCCTTATAAATAGTATCAATAAAACAGTTGATCGTATTATCCCTATTAAAAAGAATTGGGAAGGGCCCCAAAAAATATTTAAACCTAAAGTTTACTGGAATCCAACACTTTCTAAGTTAGTCGCAGAAAGGAGACTGGCCTTAGCTCGTTTTAGAAAAAACCCTATCCCCGAAAACTTAATTATCTTAAACAATAAAACAGCAATTGCAAAACGCGAAATCAAACGGGCTAAATTTATGAGTTGGCAAAAATTTTGTTCTAGTATAGACGAATCGACGTCGCTTACTGAAATGTGGCAAAAAATGAAGTGGATTAAAGGTCAATGGACAACAAAATGGTATCCTTCAAAAGAAAAGAAACAAGAGTTGTTATGTAACTTAGCACCAGATTCGGTACAATATTTAAAACCCAAACTTACATCATATAATCCTATTCTTGAATCAAAATTTTCGATAGAAGAGTTAATAAAATGTTTTAAAAACAAAGATACAGCACCAGGTACCGATGGAATAACCTATTCATTAATATATCATCTGCCAGATATAGGCAAAGAATTATTATTAAACATATATAATAATATACTCAGTCTAGGTCACATTCCATATCAATGGAGAGAAATAAAAGTCGTTCCTATTCCGAAATCTAGTAACAATCACAACGAAGATATTAAACTTCGTCCCATTTCGCTCATATCCTGTCCATGTAAAATATTCCATGCAATGATTTTTAAAAGGTTAGAATGGTATACCGAAAAAAATAAACTGCTAGATGATAACACCGTCGGCTTTAGAAAAGCTCAGTCATGCTTAGACTCTCTGGCTAGATTAGTAACGACAATCCAAATCGGTTTTACTGAAAATATATCAACCTTAGCCTGTTTCCTTGATATTGATAGTGCATATAATAATGTTTTAATCAACAAGTTAGTTGAAACATTAGATAAATTCAATATAGGGTCTAAAATTTGTAATTACTTATGGGAATTTCTAAACGAAAGACATTTAAAGATAACTGATGAAACTGGTAATGAAGGTGACGTCGTGAGGTGGACACATAAAGGCTTAGCTCAAGGAGACCCATTGTCCCCATTACTTTTTAACTTGGTGACTAGTCAAATAAGCCAAAATATTAGAGATGTAAACATCTGTCAGTATGCAGATGACTTTGTACTATTTACTAAGAATAAAAGATTAGAAGATAGTGTTATTGCTGTTCAAAATTCATTAAATACATTTGTTATACTTATGGAGGAAATAGGACTTACATTATCAATAAATAAATCAAAATATTGTATTTACAGTAGAGGTTTTAGGAAACAAAAAATTACACTTAGAATAATTGACAGATGTTTAAATTCTTCTGAAAATATTAAATACCTAGGTATCTGGCTTGACCACTCGTTGAGATGGGGGAAACAGATAAATGAGATTTGTGAAAAGACTCAAAAATACCTTAATATTTTGAAAGTGTTAGCTGGAACAAATTGGGGAATGCATCCTAAACATCTCAGAAGATTATACATCTCCCTTATAAGGAGTAGAATGGACTATGGTTGTTTTTTGTATAATAATAGTGCTAATACACATGTAAATAAATTGGAAAAAATCCAAAATCAAGCCTTAAGAGTGATTGGCGGATTTATTAAAACAACTCCAATTCATGTTATGGAGAGTGAAATTTGTATACCTCCCTTACATATTAGAAGACAATATTTATCAGTAAAATTTTGTATTAAAAGCAGAACTTTAACAAATAATGTAACAATAAAATTACTGGCAGAACTCGGTTCTTCTTGTAGCCATAGGTATTGGATTAATAAAAAGAAACCTTTATTGATGACATCATTTTTAGATACAAAAGAAGAAAAAATATACTCTTCTAAACCATTAGAAATATTTACATTGAATATATGGCCTTCCAAAATAGAAATAAAGAATGTGATTATGGTTAAAATAGACAGTATAACCGAAGCGAAAGAATCATACCAAATTGATATCTTAAAAAACAAAGTTTTAATAGAAATACATCAAAAATATCATACATTCAATAAAATATATACTGATGGCTCAAAAAGTTCTGAGGGATTAGGAGCAGCTTTTTATGACCCATTTACAGATTATTACGAATGTTATAACATAGTATCGAAAGTATCTATAATGACTGCAGAGTTATTTGCCATTTCAGAAGCCTTAACATATATAAAAAAAATAGGATACAAAAAAGTGGCTATTTTATGTGACAGTAAAAGTGCCCTGCAACATATTAATCGATGTGCATTGGGTCAAAGATCTGCTCCTATTGCAGTTAATATTTTAAATAAAATCAACCAATTAAAGGAACTCAACATTTTAATAAAAATACAATGGATCCCGTCACATATTGGGTTAATAGGTAATGAGAAGGTGGACCATTTGGCAAAATCTGCTATCTCTGATGGATCTCAAATTTTTATCCTACCTATATATTCTGAGGTTTTAAGTAAATTCAAAAACATGAGTCATCAGAATTGGACGGAATACTTTGACGAAAGGTCTAAAACAAAAGGTATTTGGTACAGAACTATTATATGTGAACCTCCTCATATACCCTGGTTTGTTAATTGTAACAATAGACGTAAATATATTATAATAGCTCATCGACTGCGATCTGGACACATTCCGCTAAATAACTTTTTATATTTAATGAAAAAAACGAATTCTCCTAATTGTGAAATCTGTCAAAAGGTAGAAGATGTCCAACATCTGCTAGCTGAATGTGTTAAGAATGAAACAGAGAGGAATAATTTACTTTTTAATTTTAAGTACAATAAAAATGACATAGGCGTTTTTCAAAGTATACTAACATGTCCATTGTCGGATGAAGCTAGAATGTTATTCGACATGGTATACAAAGTTATGTTTCCATAGATATAGATCATACATTTGTTATTTGGTTAATATTGGGCTGACATGAACACTAAGTTCAAAAGCCCACTGGTGTCAGAAACTTATCTAGTTAGTACAACCGATTTATCTTAATTCAATTTTCTTTAATGTGGGATTTTCATTTTGGTATCAGCTGATGGCAAAAAACACGGTATACTTTTATTTTTAAATTGGCTGACCTAAGCTAAATTTAAGCGAAACGATTAATTATGTAATAACAACTCTATATAGATATCTTTAAATTCATTAGGATTGCCGAAGCTTGACGAATATAGCCGAAGCGCATAATTTAAATAGTATATGTGTAAATGTTTCATATTACTTTCATATATTATATTTTTTTCATATACCACAATATTTAAGTATAGATTCTTTTCCAAAAAATAATGTAATAAATAAACAAACAAAAGTAATTAAATTATTATCATTATATTTTGGTGGTAATATTTCAATAATTAATAAATAATTTATCTTTTGCCTTTTGTGCTATCTATACTTTCTGTTTTCATATGACGTCATGCGGGTGTTATTTAGACAAGGTTGCAGGGCAATTGCAATTTGCGGGACTTATACTAGGATAATTTATCATAGTAATTCTATGGTCACCCTGTTTCTATTGCAAAAAGTATATACAGCTCTTACTGACATAATGCTATGTCATAATGACATTCCTATTTCGAATAGTGTTCAAACTTAAATCAAAATCAAGCATTTCTAAAAAAATCAACCGCTTTACAATTTTTGTGCACAGTTTACGCGAAATTTTGTATGTTAGTTTTATTTTGTAATAGTATGTTGGAATGAATGAATTTCCCCAAGATATTGTTGTATTAATTTAATAAAACTTTTTTATTATAGGTTTATATTTGACCAATTTTGCATTCAAAATGTTCCACTGAAAAATATTCTTAATGAAACATTAAAAAATCTACTTTGACTCGGCACTCTGATCTAATGGGACTCTATCCCACGACCTTTCGTAATCCGGGCCAGTCGCCCGGATCCGGGCGACCGTTCTAACCACTGACCTCTACCCAGAACCCAGGACCTAACAGGACTGTCGAATTTTTTGAGCAATTGTTACTTTTTCACTACTACAGAGCGTATTTTCATCAATGTTCAAGCAATTTTTCAACTTTCTTATATTATAAATATTCTGGTAGTTTGCGAACAAGTAATTTAATTTCTAAAATACAAACGGGAGTTGGGGTTAACATTTTTTAGTTTGATAAATGTCTGCAGCTTTCCCGTTGCCGAATATTTACGATATAATTAAAACTTGACGCTCACAAATCAAGTTTTAACGATTATATTGATACAAACAATACTGTGCTCTATCACCAGGCGTTAGAGGCGGAAGCTCTACAGCACAGCGAGGAGCTGGCCGCCGCAGAACGCGCGAGACGTCAAGCCGAAGCAGAACGAGACGATCTACTCGACGAACTGAACAACACATCCGCCAAGGTATTGTATTTATATTCGAAATGTCAGAAAAATATTATACAGTTTATCTAAAAATATATAGCTTTATCTAATGAAAATGATTTTAAATTGCTCTAGTTGTATTTTGAGTTTAATTGGTAGAAATAAAAACGAAGAAAAAATTCACATATTTCCTTTTTATGTCAATATAGACTTTCCTCGAGGATTTCCTAGTTTCTAGAGTAAAACAGACACAAGAAATGACATTGATTTACACTATATAATGATGACAGTATTATGTGAACGATGATTGATTTGATAATTATTGTCAGTATTTATATAATTTGTCATATTTTTTTGTCATATATATTTGTCACTAATAATCACAATTTTATTGCTTATTAATATGCTCATATCGATATAATGTTCGCGGTTTATATATAATTTTCGACATGACAGTATATATTTAATTTGGTAAAAAAAATATGTATGATTTCAAATTTAAAGGTTGTTGAATAAAGAGTATTTGTTTTATTATTTATTCGTGTTGTTTTGTCACGATATTACAGAGCACACTTCTCGTAGACGAGAAGAAGCGTCTGGAGGCGCGGATAGCGGCCCTCGAGGAGGATCTGGATGAGGAACAGTCCAACAATGAATTGCTCAACGACAGACTCAGGAAATCACAGGTCAGTGGAATACGGCAATATTATATATTCATTTCAAATTAAGATCATGAAATCTTGTACAGTGTTAATTCTCCACTGTGATGACATGTTTAATGTAGAAATGAATTAGGGAAATTTATAGTAAAATCCGACTAATATATGTTCGTTCGCGTAGACCATATCTTCCCATTCAATATTTAATCCATTTTGTATTCACAATGCTATATTGGATACGGTTATTAAAGATTAAATAGTCTTTATTTTAATAACCTTAAGTTATAAAATATAACGCATTATGTTTCTATCTAATTCACACTGGGCACGCTATTAGAGTTGTTCTGATTGGTCGGCAATGCTTCGATATTTGTATTAAGCTTAAGCCATTGTATTGTATTGTAAAACATTTTCAGAATCAAATCGACCAAGTGACGATGGAATTGGGTACGGAGAAGGCGGCCACACAGAAGTTGGAGAGCAGCAAGCTCGTGCTGGAGAGGCAGAACAAGGAGCTGAAGGCGAAGCTGGCTGAATTGGAGACGGCCACCCGCACCAAGACCAAGGTATGCAACGGATTCAGATCAAAATTAGACGATTAGTTAGACGATTAGCTCTCTGGGTAATAATGGTCTAATGATGTTCGAATCAAATAAAAATCATTTATTGAGTCTAGGCTGTTACAAGCACTAGTAAAAGTCGAGAGCTACGCCATCGGTTCGTAAATCTACGACGGAAGACTTTGTACCGAAAAGAACCGGCAAGAAACTCGGCAAAGGTTGCTTTTTTCCTCCCCGTTTCATTTCATACAGAGCGTCAAGACTGAACATTGAAAAATATGTTGATTTATTAGATATTCATTACAATTTCAGGTCACGTAATTTTCTATAGTGTTATTTTTTAAGTAAGACCCGACTAATGTATCTTCGTTCGCGTAGACCATAGCTAGCCGTTTAGATGTTCGATAAATTTTCCATTCACAATGCTATACTGGAAATGGTTTTAAATCTATACTAATATTATAAAGCTGAAGAGTTTGTTTGTTTGTTTGACCGCGCTAATCTCAGGAACTACTGGTACGAATTGAAAAATTATTTTTGTGTTGAATAGACCATTTATCGAGGAAGGCTTCAGGCTATATAACATCACGATGCAACTATTAGGAGCGAAGAAATAATGAAAAATGTGGAAAAAAACAGGGAAAATTATTCATCCTTGAGGGCTTCCGTTGCGTGCACTGTGAAAACGGTGCAAGATGCCAAAAATATATGTATGAAAGAGTTATTCCTCTTGAAATGATCTCAAAAAATGTCCCCGAAAAAAAAAAGTCTATCTTTTAAGATTAACTCACTAGAACCGTTTTTATGGTAATCGAATGTGGTCGAAATTAATGCATTATTTGTTAAAAATTGTATCAACGTAATACAACACGAATAATATTAATGTATAATACAAGACCACGCGGGCGAAAAGCTAGTGAAATATATGTTGAATGATAAATGATGATACGTTTCCAGGGCATGATCACGTCGCTGGAGCTGAAGGTGGGCAACCTGGAGGAGCAGCTGGAGGCGGAGTCGCGCGAGCGCCTGGCGCAGCAGAAGGCCTCGCGCAAGCTCGACAAGAAGATGAAGGAGCTCGCGCTGCAACTGGACGAGGAGCGCCGCCACGCCGACCAGTACAAGGAGCAGATCGAGAAGGTACTCAATATCATACATTGTATAAATATGGGTCGTTGGGAGTTTCTGCTCCGGTTAAAAAAAATATCTGTGATCCGGGCCTGTGGAGAGAAGTGACAATAGGGAATATGCACATTTTTGGAAAATGGTTGTATATGATAATTTACATCGATATATAAAAAAAAACCGGCACCGAAAAACTAAAATTTTGTAACATTAATCATTGATGAAAATAAGTAATAGATAAGAGCAGTTTAAACACCGGAATTTTTGGCGCGCTCTTGTCGTGACGTCAAAGTACACGACTAGAGATATGACATTTTAAATCAATATGAGTTTTGAGTGAGAGATTATTATTCAATTAGCTAAATCTATTAACAACTAATCGATTTTTTAAAGTATAATAGACTTTTTTAATAAATCGCATAATTTACTTAATTGATGATATAAAAATAAAAGCCTAAAACATCATTTAAATTGTAATCAGTTGTTTATTTTGCGACATAATCATTGATGTTATCTTTTTGTAACAACGACATCCCTTTACGTGTACATTTTCGTCACATCCGCTCTGACAAGTAGCATGGCGTTTAAATATTTTAAAGTTACCGCATTTATTTTGTACTTTTTAATAATTATTTTCAAGACGAAAACGAACTTATATTGAAAATCATTTAGATATACTTTATTCTAAAGCAATAACGATTGTAATAAAATATATTTAACCTTTTTTTTGAATCAGACGCATATTCCCTATTGGGTGTAGGCAAAACGCATATATTACGCGTAATAAAATATTCTTTATTGCACACTACAAAGGGGTCATCCATAAATTAAGTCACACTTTAGGAAAGTGGGAGGGGAGTGACATTAGAACAATATTTAGTAAAATATGTATAGATAAAGATCCTGAATTTTGTGTGACGTAATTTATGGACGGCCCCAAAAGACATGATACAAAGAATCAAAATAAGAAAAAAGTATACAAAAGGCAGCCTTATTGCTAATTTCATATTGTTTGAGCACTTTGTATTTCAGCAGCATTTCCCCATACTGTGTTTACATATCTTATAATCGAGTGAATGCATAATATACGGTAATGAGCGTGCGTTTGTCTACTAACGGTTTCAGTTTCATTAAAACGATTTGCATTGGTTATTCTTTTGCAAATATTTCTAATATGTTTAGAATGATGTATATGTCGGCGGGTAGTCAGAAGGGTCTATTACGAAGCCCGAATAGATCGTCCATAACGGAGGACTATCTTTCAAATAACACTGCAGGCGTGTATACCAACGTGGATTTGATCCATTTTATCACTTTTCATACGAAAAAATAACGAGATGAGCGTGATGTCGTCGGATGTCTTTACTCCTCGGCGATCGGAAACAGAATGCGTGCCAAATGGCGGCAATTTGCTTTTGTTAACGAACTGTCAAAGTCAGTGTCACCATTCTAATAAAATTAAAAGTATCGATGATCACGCTCTCTCTACAATCGAGTAATTAAGTCATCGAGTAACTAGCAATTAAAATAATATAAACTAAATCAAACGATCTTCGTAAAGATGATGCGACATATAAGACACGTATAAATCGTTCCGTTCGTCTTTCAGATGAACGTGCGCGTGAAAGCTCTGAAGAGGCAGCTGGACGAGGCGGAGGAGGAGGTGCAGAGGGAGAAGGTCGGCAAACGCAAGGCGCAACGCGAACTGGAGGACATGCTCGAGACGCACGAGCAACTGGCCAGGGAGTGCAACAATCTGCGCAACAAACTCCGGTAGTTATACACACACGCTAGATGTTTTGCCGCGACTTCACCCGTGTTAATAGACTAAATGACACTTCACTGAAAACTATTTAAATAGTTGTTTTATACATTATTATAAACGCACTGTCTGTATATTTCATCAGGTCAGCAGGGCGATTCTATTCACTCATGTTTTTGAATTTACTGTAGGAAGTCTATTGATACATTTTTTTTGTATAAAGGTACAAAATAGATTTTGATTGGTTATACGTATCTCAGATATTCTATTCCTATGTCATTTCGAAATTCACTTAACTTTTCCACAATTTCCGTTTTCCATAAAAGACAAACTATTTACAATATTTCTACTGTTGCTAACAGAAAGAATATTCAGATGTTGAATGACAGTTGTTAAAGTTTTGGGATGTCCCGTTACGAGAATTAACAGGATAAAATTAGGTAACCTATTCTCAGTGATACAGTAGACTTTATCATACTCTAAACACTATGCACTCTAACGCACACTCACTTCACACTTTGCACTCCATATGTAGGTTAAAAAAAAAATATAAATAAATCTCTATAATGTTTGTTTACCTTTAAATGAAAAAGGGATATTTAAAGTAACACATTAAAGCACCACAGAGATGTATTTGTTACTCTTGGAACTAAAATCTACTTATTATTCAGAATATTTTGTTTATTTTGTAGTTACTTTACTAATGCAGTGTGTTCGAGTTATAATAACTTCTTTCTGTATGGTCTCTTTGTGTAAATAAAAACTCTTAAAAAGTAGGACTGACGTGGAAAAATTTGTCTTGTTACATTTTGAATTTTACCTTCCTCGTAAAGTTGATTGAATCTAGTTGATCATTCACAGGAATATTCTATTTGAAAGCCAACTCTATAATCATCTGACGAGTCTCATGATATTTATTTATTTAGAATCAAATGTAAATACAATGTAATATTTCTTCTTCATGGACGTTATTCAACACAATATTTAAAAAAATATATATATGTTTCGCTAGTTGAAAGTCTCACTTTGATTGTTTTTATTAGGCCTTCTCTGTCTGACGTCGATAGCGACTAAGCGGCACCAACCGGCGGAAAGTAAAATGGAAAGGGATGGAACGCTTGGTTCATCGTGGTTGCTACGTTTTGAGAGATTGTTGGGTCATAATGTTTTGTTGTTAGGGTTGTTTTTACAGTGACAATAAATTTTTTTAAATTTTATATCGTAATAAAAAGTTATTATAGATATCGTAATAAAAAGTTATTATAGTTATATATACTAGTTAGCAAAGCTCTCACATTAGATCAAATATACTAATAAATAGTTTATCAGTGACTAATGATTATAATATTTTTTTGTTAGGTGAACTAAACTGTTATATTTCTCTATTTAATTTTAAACTTTAATGTACTGAGGATAGAGTTCAAATCTACTGCGGAAGGACTTATAGCAGAATACGCATATGACAAAAAGGATTCCTTTAAATTTTGAAATAAAATGATTAGTTTATCCGATTACTACTAAATTATCAGTATTTTTAAATTGGAACGAATCAAAAATTATTATAATTTAGCTCTCAAAGCGTAGTCTCAAGGATCTTTTACTAAAAAAATACAATCGAATGTATAAATAACCGTCTGCATATTGAGCTTTGTAACTACTCTCTCTCTTATCTATTTGAGTGTTTGTTTTTAAACTGTGGTGGTTAATGTGTTGTCGATTTTACGCTTATTTTTGTTGACGGTGATAATGCTAAAGCAGTACCGCGTTCTGTTAATAGAGATGCGGTACCGCTCTTTCATAATTAATGGTCATAAAAAAATATGTCATCAGATTTGTGTCGCTTATTGTTCTGTCCCCTCGCAACTAATATTTGTTTCGTTTTCATTCATAAATGCGGTATAGAATGTACCAGTCGTGTTGAAAATTAATTTGAACTCTATTGCTATCAATTTAAAGTGTCATTGCAAGTTCAAAACATCAAGAACATATCTAATACTAGTGGGTTTTTTACGGTGATTGTTTTTTAAGTGCGTTCAATGTTTTCGAAAATTTAATTTCTTATATAGATTTTAAATACTTAGTTATTTAAGAAAAGATCATAAATAATTTGTCAATTTTTGCTTTTCAACGTCTTGAGTTTCCTTCCTTACTTCAAAAATCTAATCATATAGGTATTATAAGTAGAGCAGGGACGCTCCAGGCCTCCTGGTTCTGGGTTAGAAAAAAGAAAAGTTCTCGGAACCCTTTCTATCTCTCTTTACTCGCGTTTGTGTAGTTATTTATATAATAACTCTCATACAATTTGTTGTAGGGCTCTCATACAACAAATTGTATGAGAGCCCTCTAATGTTAAGTATTATTTTTATTTATTTGTTGTTATAGTGACAACAGAAACACATAATCTGTGAAAATCTAACTTCTAACTTCACAATTCATGAGATACTGTCTAGTGACAGACGGACGGACAGCGAAGTCTTGGTCAAAAACAATCTGACGCAGTCTGTTTAATAGTTGTAATTTACTGTGCACTGCTCATCTTTTCTTTCTAACCAAGGAACGTCTTTGCTTACAGCCAGCTGGACAGACCTTCTCTAACCTTAATACTTCTCTGACGCTAATCGAATTTGTATCGAACACATTTGTCAAACTTCAGTTCATTATACACAGGTGGCGCTGTACTGATGTCAATATAAAATAAGTGCACGATACGAATTCGAATCACTCACGATAATGTTTTATATGAAAAGGTTCTAAAAGCAGGCTGCATTTGATCAATTATCACGGGACCGATATACCATTTTTAAATGTTTAGCACGAGATTTGACTGCGAAATGTTTCCAGGCAAACCTTATAAAAACTGATGCCTACAGATGTTACAGCCGTATCTCAGACTGTAATTCGTACGAATTAATATGATACACGTTCTTAATCCATTTGTCCTCGATAGAAAGTCCGGAAAGCCATAATTCTAGCCATAGGACACTACATCTTAGCGATCTTGTGTCAATATTTCGTCTCAATTTTACTGCTTCAACATACACTTTATTAACGTCAAATGAAAATGATTGGAACGTTATCAAATTAGTAGTTTTTCCTAAATTTATCGATCAAAAGACATGTCAAAGAACACGGCTAATATGTCGAAATCCTTTGGCTACAATCATGGGTAGAGAGTGAGACATCCTACTTCTATTGGATCATCAAATTAGCATTTCGTACATATACAGACGTCATGTTAATTCGCACGAGCAGTATGATGGTTGGCTCGAGTGTTACAATGAGGAAGTATTTAAAAAAAAATAGTTCTCGAAATCAAACTAGATGTCGCTACGGTACGTTCTCGATTTCTCCATGACAACCCTTCCGGTTTTCTTTCATGTTTAAAAGTAAATTAGTTTTCAAAACTCAATAAACAACTCATATTCTATTTGTACTTTTTCGTATTTGTATTGATATCAAAGTTTCGAACTTTGCGAATTTTTAATTTTAATATGTTAGTTAAAAGGAACGGCAATGACTGTCTTTGGTCCATTCGTTTCCTGCAAAAATCAACTTTTGCTAGAGTCGCCATCTAGTGGAGGTGCTTTTTTAGTCATCATCATCATCAGCCCTTTTACGTCCCCACTGCAGGGGCTCAGGCCTTCCTTATGGATTGTTAAGGAGGATAGGCCATGACCCTCCACGCTGGCCCAATGCGGATTGGAGGGTATTAACGACTGTAAATGCAGCCGGGACCAACGGCTTAACGTGCCTTCCGAAGCACGGAGTAGCTCGAGATAATAATTTTTTGGTCACCCATCCCGTGACCGACCCTTGCGAAAGTTGCTTAACAACAACGATCGCGGGCCGCGGCGCTTATCCACTACGCCACCGAGCTTTTTTAGTGCTTTCGCTTTATTTTAAATACTTCCTCATTCGCCCGAGCAGTATGACGGTCGTCTAACATAGAGGGCGCGAGTGTTACAATTGCATTGGCCCGTTGTACAGACGGCAGGGCGGCGGCATCGGGCTGTCGAGCGCGTCGTCCTCCTCCCGCATGAAGCGCACGTCGCTCGCGCCCGGCGCCGGCGCCGGATCCGGCGACGAGTCCTTCGACGACGTCAACGACACCACCAACAGCGTCGAGTGACGTCACCACCACCACCACGCGACACCGACTCATTACCCACGTTACAATACACGCGCACGCCCCGCCTTTGTATCTGTCTAAGTATTCTTTTGTCTATGGTTTTGCCGAGTCTTTCTCAGCTGTTGTTCCGATTGATTTTTATCTATTAATATTTCGATGTTATGAAAATTATGTATGTTTTATTATTCACTATTTAGAGAGCGTGTTCCGATATTGAAGTGCCAATTTTTCTAATGGAGCTCTTATCTTTATTTATGCAGAAAATTGTGAGATGTATTACTTTTTCCTTCTGATTTCGTAAAATGTTTCTATTGATATTTATAAATTACGACGTTATTAATGGTAGAAATTATAAATGAATTAGTATATTTAAAAAAATGGCAAATTCATTGGTAAAAGATCTCGTTCGAACGGCTAATCAGTGCGGCAGCAGAAGTTCTATTATTTTATACCAACAAGAATACAAAAGCCAGTAGCTATCATTATTATATAAAGGAAACTGTTGCGTCTTCGCTAATGAGCCGCCTCGAACATTAATATAAAACATATTGCGACTGTATTCGTTGAAGTTATGATTCGTTAAACAAACCATATTTGGCGCATTTGCGTTTACAACACTCGAGTGTTCTATTCCAAGGCAGTAAAATTCTTTTTCATCTTAATATTTTTCTCACAAACTACTTTACAGAAGACAGTCGTGATATAGTATTTTCTTATTACATTAATCGTCAAGTTACAAATATAAAAAAGTTTAAAAATTGATAAGTTAACGTTTCTCGCTTTGCATCGGCCAAAATGATTAAATCTTTAGACTAAGATTCATATGTGAAAGTTCGAGGCCCCTTAAAATATATAATTGCTAAATAAGATATAAGAGCAAACGATTCAGTTTCACCATCCATTTGAATGGCTCGTATTTGACATTTGTAATGGATTCAGGTCGCTGAAGAAGTACTCTTGTTACCGCTAAGTATAATAATTTCATATTACTTTTATTATTTCATAATATTCTTTTCTGTAATGTTTATCGTGTGAGTATTTCTTCAATGAACCATGTTATACGTCATAGGCTCGTGCTGATATGGTATTGTGTAATGCGGTGGTGACTTAAAAGTTGTATAAAAATGGACTTTGGCTCACTCATTAGTAGGTTTAAAATGTTTATTGCAATTGTATATGTATAATGAACATGTTGTTTGTTGGAACACCGTTATAATCTTGGTTTACTCGGATATTGGTATGATTTTTATTTATATCTAATAATACATCGGTCGTGTTAAGATTATCGTAATGTGATTTGTATTGAACCGTGTTTGTTATAAAATAAATTTTTTATTTAGTATCAGCCGCTTTGAGAGTTGTCAAATAAAATTTGTGAGCGAACGAATGTATTTTGATATTGTAATCGTTTTAACATTTTTGTAATAATCGTCGTTTGATATTTTTTTATTAGCGTCTAATAAATATTCCGTGTACATGTTTGATATAACGACAGGTGCTCAAACTTTTTAATTATTGCATTTGTCAGTCGCAACACCAATAGTATCGGGTAATTGATGAATATAATTGGAGCTGTATCGCGAGCCAGTATTAATAACGAAACATTCCTAACAATGGAGAGTTTTACATTTTACCAGGACATAGTCTCGAAAGGGTAAAATAATAAATTACTCATTGGGTGATATTGTAATGAAATTTTTTGATAAAAAGTAAATTTATTAACATAATCGTGGCAAAATAGGTCCGTTACAAGTTGATTTAATTTTTGCATTTAAAGCGACTGAATGGTGAAGACTGTATTTGCGACGATACGAACGACTTCCCCCCCACCACCCCTCCCGTTCACGACGTATTTTTTCGCCGATATATGTTGTCTCACTCGCTCCCACGTCGGTGACAGTGCGAGCAATACCAACATGTAAATATGAATCAGTGTCGGTCACTGAACGCTTTGTTGCCATACAAAATGTAATGATAGTTGTTAAGTAAGGACATGTAAGCTTCGGTGTAGAGGATGCGGGACAGAGCGTGTACGAACGAGTGCGTGTCTCTCGGATTAACGATAAATCAGTACAAATTCGTTGTAACTAGTGTACGGTGGCGGCATCTCGTACGCTCCGCCCCGCGATCCTCGCTTTTGTTTTTAAACGTATCATTTCATCTGTCCACCCCCAAATCTGTACTCTCGCTATTTCAACAACTTCGCATGTGTAAATACACCTTGGAGGTGGTTCATGTAAATTTTGTTTACATTATTATAACGAAAATGGTATTATTCTCTATCGCCAGACGGAAGGTATCGAAGGGCTAGAATATGGCTTGCTTTATTCTAGACTTAGGTAAAACTCGTAGTAATAAAGCGTGGCCTTAGTTTTATATTATGGACTTGTGTGTATCTAACGTTTCTGTCTTTGTGCCGAAGGCCTAAAAAGTAAAAAAAAAAAACACTGCATCTTGTACGAACATTTTTTTTTATGAATATTTACCAAGTCTAATTATTATAATGACCTCTTTTTAGTTATATAGTTTTTCTGAATAATAATATAAAATTTAAATGTAAGTAAACCAGCATAAACCTATTTTACATAAATATTATATTTAATTATTAACAATATTGATAATTGTAAAATTGGCCATAGGTTGTAACAAGTTATCAGTTGGTATGCCAATTAAACAATTTTTCATGATTTTTAATATCATTTGTTTTATTTCTATTTCCTTTTTAGAATTTCATAACCTTTTGACATTTGACATTCCATGCATAAATAATGTTATTTATTATATTTTATCAAATATATAAAATAATAGCTTTAGCCCGAGACTTCGTCCGCGTGGTAAAGTTACTTTGAGCAGCATTACTAACGAATATTTATTCATTATATCGTGTAAAATACCTGAAAAAAAAAAGTCTTATCCTCTTAGCTTATGCCCGTAGGGGTGGAATTTACCAAAATCCTTTCTTAAGGGATGCTTACATCATAGTAGTTTTATGCATGCAAAGTCTCAGCGCTTAAAATTGACAAAGTTGCATACAAACTTTTATCCCCTTGGGGATAGAATTGAGCAAAATCCTTTCTTGGCGGATGCCTACGTCATAACATCTACCTGTATGCCAAATTTCAGCCCGATCCGACCAGTGGTTTGGGCTGTGCGTTGATAGATCACTATGCCAGTCAGTCACCTTGAAGTTATATATATTTAGATTACTTTCCCGTGGGAATGCGTCATGTTCCCGCGGTAAAAAGTAGCCTATGTCCTTTCTTGGGTATTAAAATATCTCCATACCAAATTTCATGCAAATTGGTTCAGTGGTTTAGGCGTGATTAAGTAACAGACAGACAGTTACTTTCGCATTTATAATATTATATAGTACGGATTTGTAAAAATATATCTTTTGGCTGTTTGGGTTGATTGCCTGAAACATAAAAACTGTAACGTAACAGACAGTCAAGTTACGTAGCATCTGAGATAAACTATAAGTTTTCGTGGCGCTGCTAGGATGACGTCAAGTCTGGTAGAGCCCATAGAATTAATAAGTACTACGTACAACTAGTACTTACTAGTACTTACTTACTAAATTAATTCTATGGTAGACCCACGCTATATCGTTACTTTAGAAGAGCATTGTTTTAAAATGTCAGGTCATTTGATCATAAATTCATAAAATATGGAAAGGACATCGCCGAAAATGGCCCCAATACCATTAAATATTAATACTTCAATAATAATTACTAATTTATTTATTAAATTGGAATCAAATATTTATTTGACACGGACAAGCTGCGATCCAAAATTAATATTTAAAAGTACTTTAACAGTAACATTTTTATTCGCAAATATTCACATTCAATATGCTTAAATTATATTGAGTCAGATGGGTGAAATTTACACGTCAGATCAAGAAGATCATTTATTTTTATTAGATAACCTTTAAATCATCGAACACAAAAACATTAAATTGAAGTGACCGAAAATAAACTTAAATTTACTAAAAGCGCTATCTCTTGGTGATTTTCCAACTAAAACATAAGGACATAAAAACTGAATATTATACAAACTAAATTCATTTACTGTTGATAATTCACTCTTGTTTATTCAGAAAGATTGATATTCATACGACATATCCTAAAAACTACTTTGTTTCTATTACATTACCTTTATATTTCTCGTAAACATATTAACATCATGTCATTTATGTATTTAAGGCGCGATCTATCAAAAAGCTATAGGTTTTTTAAATTTTAAGCTTATCAATAGGTATATTATTTACTATTAGAATTATTTATTTGTCTTTTGATTAACTTTTACAAATCACAACGAAAAACCGACTTGTTTTTTTGCTTCAACAATATAGACATCAATATCATATCATGTACTTAGAGTGCCATCTCTTGGTGGTTTTCCAAATAAATTATAACCTTACAATGCGATTTTTTTACCCGATTAAAAAATATCGTTTTTGAAAGCAGAAGAAATGATAATTAATTTTATATTGAATTAAACTGTAATTTTTGTTTTAGTTTTCCGTATGATCCTCATATTAAAAATAAATGGATTGAAGCAACAGGACTCTAAGGCAAATAGTAGGTATACTTACTGGACATGGACACTTTAACAAACACCTATATAACATGGGTTATTCTGACAGTCCTCTGTGCAGGGCGTGCATGGAGACCGAGGAGATTGTCTCCTCAGTCTCCATTCCAGTATCACATGAGCGCTTGTGCGCTCATGTGATACTGGAATGCAGGAGCCTATTAAGACAAAGGACTACATATCGAGGAAGCCCAAGGACTAAAGCAACCCCGTGTCATGCAAAATAGGCACTGAGTATCGAGTTGCGGAAAAGCCCGCCGTGAAACAAAATATAACATCACAGGACGTAAAAATGTGTAGCGTGTCGGGAGGGGGTAGCGGCTACTACAAAGTGTTTGCCCACAGAAAAATGCCGATTTCTATTCTATCGCATAAAATCTTTTTTGTGCCGATTCACTAAATTACATTCGTGAGTTCGTTCTTTATTAACATTATTTCCATCATTTACAACCTTGAAATTATCCCAGTAAGTAATATAAAATACTTGTATTGGGACCATTTCGCTCCAGCTTTGTAGCAAGTACATATTTTAATGTTAACAAGAACCAAAATTAATGAATGAATGAGTTCGTGGGTGAGGTATTGTGTTGTGAATGTGTGTATTGTGGTGTGTGTATTGTGTTATGTGTTGTGCCTGTGGGTGTGTGTTGTTATCTACATATATATTATATATTTGTATTTGTATGTATATGTATATGTCGCAGCCAAGCGGCACAATTAGCAACTCAGTCAGCCGGCCAACCACGCCACTCGACTGCGACATACACAAAGTACTTATTTAGTTAATTCTTTTCAATATGTCCTCAGTTTCCTCATATGTAATAGTTTTTAAGAATTCTATTAATATATCTTTACATTCATACAACTGTTTATCATATATATTTAGTTTCCTATTTAATTTATTATATAAATAAGCTGATTGACTGTTATATTGACGTTCTGCGAAGGCTGTATGACTCCTAAATGATTTGACCACAACATTACTACGTCGCCTATTAAGTTTTTTTGGATCAAAATCTAAAGTTGTGTGTACTTTCAAAATAATCTTTAAAATATACAATTTTCTAATCGTAAGTAAATTACAGTCGCTATAAAGTCTTTCTGTTGCGTATTTATTTTGTTTGGAGTGCATCATTTTAATAAGTAATCTTTGAGACCTTTCAAGTACTAGTAATTTCATTTTAGTAGCTCCTCCCCAGACCAGAATACAATAGGTTATAATCGATAGAACAAGTGCTATGTAAACCTTATTTAAAAGATTTTTTGTCATTATATTTCGAAGTGTTCTAAAAATCCACATCAATTTTCTGATTCTACAAATAATCATTTCAATATGGCTGTGCCATGATAGTCTATAATCCACAATTACTCCAAGATATTTGGTAGAAACCACTTTATCAATGATAGGACAATCACAGTTCTGGTTCTGTGCATTACCGCAACGATGTATCTTTATTTGAAAATCAGTGGTAGGCTGGGTTCTTTGACTAGGAGTAAAACAAATATATTTAGTCTTGGATGCATTAAGAGTAAGTAGACTTGACTTTAACCAATCAGCTATAACAGCCAAGCCTATACCAGCTGCAGTCTGCACTTCATCCCAACTTTTCTCAGAAAAAACGACCGTTGTGTCATCTGCATAAGAAAATATCCGACTATTGCAATTCTGTAATGTACATAGATCGTTAATATATATAAGAAAGAGCGTAGGGCCGAGTACACTACCTTGCGGGACTCCATAATTAATATTTCCCTCGTCGCTACAATAATCACCGATTTTAACCATTTGTGTCCTCTCACTAAGATAACTTTCGAAAAGATTATCTCTTTTATGCCTCTAATACCAATAGTTTCAAGTCTATCTAATAGAAAAGGGATAGAAACGCTGTCGAATGCTTTTTTAAGATCTATAAAGACGGTAAGGCACTTATATCCGTTATCAACTTTTTCAGTAATTAATTTAGTTAAATCTAAAACAGCGTCCTGAGTGGAAAGTCCTTTTCTAAAACCATATTGGGAGTTAGAAATAATGTTGTAAGTAGTTAAATATTTAACAAGTCTTTTGTTTAATAACTTCTCTAGTATTTTATAGAAGCAGGGAAGTACAGATATAGGTCTATAATTATTTACATCATTTACATCTCCACCCTTATGAACCGGTGTAACAATAGAGCGTTTAAAAACCACAGGAAATTTTCCCATTTCAAAACACAAATTAGCCAATCGACTCATAAGAGGAACAAAAAAATCTCTAGCTTGCTTAACAAATTTCGTAGGAATGTAATCCCAACCAGGAGAACTACTAGAATCAAGATTCATAAGAATCCCATTTACTTCTTCAGGATCTGTTTCCATCAGAACGAATGAAGATGTTTGTATGGTAGAATTCACTTTATTCAATTGTATACCAAAGTTAGAAATAATATCTTCAGCTAAAGTACTTCCAATACTAATAAAAAATTGATTTACACAGTTTATCGAATCTATGGGGTTTGGTAACATATTTAAGAGTTTAGAGTTTGAACTCTTTGGAGCCCTGAATTGACTTACTTCATTTATTGTTGACCACAGCTCTTTGTTGTTTTTTGTTGAGTCCTCAATTCTTTTCTTATTATATTGTGTTTTAAGTTTTCTCAACAAATTTACACAATAGTTACGAAAGCGTTTATATGTAATTTGTAAAATTTTATTTTCTGGTTCTTGTCTTAGTTTATACTGCATGTTATTTCTCAGCCTAATACAGCGTAGGACACCGCTAGTCACCCACGGTTTTAAAATTCGTTTGCCTGATGAAACTGTCCTTATTTTAGTATTTGTAACGAAAGCCTTTTTTATCATGTTTACAAGTTTATTTGCCAATATATTTGGATCATTACATGTATTAAAATAGGAAATATCATTGCTGATAAGGGCAGCGTATACATTATTATAATTGACATAATTTCTAGTATTTGATTTGGAAGCTATTTCATTTGTTAAATTTGACACATTTAGAGTCACCATGAAGTGATCTGTTATTGTACTGTCAAGAACTACAACAGTTGCAGAGTTTTTAGTTTTTTCTAGTTTTAGGAGAACATGATCAAGGCAACTGTTTCCCCTAGTTGGCAGGTAATGACCAGGGAGCAGACCATGTGAAGCCAAAACCTCCAAGTATTTTAATCTGTTATTCCGTTCATTTGATCTTTCTACTGAATTTATTATTAGGTTAATATTTATATCACCCATGATAAAAATATTTTGTTAGAAGATAGCAACTCGAGATGATTATTTAGTGACTCGATAAATCTTTCTGCATTTAAGTTTGAAGGAGACCGATAAATACCTATTACTACAAAACTGTCTGTGGTTATTTGTAGTCCAGATGCATGTGTTAAATTAATTTCTGTCACCTGAACCTGCAGGGACCGATTAACATAGATAGCCACTCCGTCATTTTGATTTATTTGGTTTAAAGTGCAGAATGCATAATAGTTTTCCAATGCAGGTAACGGTTTATTTAAATCAAGTCTACACTCTGTCAGAATGATCATATTTGGCTCAACCGGTATTTGCGATAGATTTATTTTAAAGTCATCGAAATTGGCATAAATACTTCTAATATTCTGAGTAATAACAGTGAAACTATGTTTTTGTATGTTTATATGCTTATAACAATCATCAATTCTACAAAATAAAGATGTTGCAATTTCTGCATCGTCTAGTTCCTGCAAAGCCTTAAGATTCACATCCATAATTATTATGAGTTAAGAGAAGACAGTAACAGTAGCAATTATTTTCTATTGATTTGTTCCAGAAAGAGTTTTTAAATATGTGTAAGTAGATAAAACTATGGAGGTCTAATGTTGTCATAAATATATTATTACAGATATATATTTTCATTAATATAATATATATCCATCCATATCCATATATATTTTTCCAGTTGTAATAGCAATAATATTCTATTTCTTTGTTCCAAAAAGTACCATAGAGGTTTATCATTTTCCTAAAATTATTTTTATACATATGTATTTTCATAATTATTAGTAGATTTATGTGTCTATTCCTGTAATGTGTCTGATGTGTGTATGATGTCTGACAAAGTGATCTGTTATACATTTTAATTTGTTTAAGATATATAGTAACAGCATTTTCATCAAAAAAACACTCATTCTTAACAAAAACATACAAATACAAAGATCCATTTATGTTTCTTATCTTCATAAATGTTTGTAAATAAGTTATATAATACAAGATAACACTAAATATATATATTTTTAAATATACTATTTGCTTGAAAAATTTATCACATATTGTATGTCTATCACCATGCTGAACAATAATCAAACACAAGATGCTCACAGAATATTCAGCCTTACAGAAGCAAAAAGAACTACACAGATTTTTCACATAAAATAGCTGTATATAAGATTTTTTAGGTAAGCATTCACCCAAGATTTGGCTGCATGGCTTAGTCCCATAGACGAAATTACTACTTAAGTAGGTCCGTGTTCCTATGATGTCCCTATGTCATAAGCAAACAATCAACGAGGAAGTATTAAAAAAAAAACATTAGTTTCCGAAATCAAACTAGATGACGCTACGGTACTTTCTTGATTTCTCCATGACATTCTTTCATGTATAAAAGTAAATAAGTTTTCAAAATTCAATAAACAATTCGTATATTTGAACTTTTTCGTATTTGTATGTATATCTTAGTTTCGAACTTTGCAAATTTCAGTTTTTTCGTATGTTAGTTAAAAGGAACGGGAATGATGAATGAACGGAATGAAATTTGGTCCATTCGTTTTACTAGAGTCGCCATCTAGTGCAGGTGCTTTTTGGTGCTTTCTTTTTATTTTTAAATATTTCCTCATTATACTCTATCTATGCTTACGAAGACCCTATGTCATAAACGTATGATTATTGGAATCCTTATGTATAGAATATTAATATTTCCACAAAAATATCAGAATTTCAAAAATAGACTGCAGGAACTTGTTTAGTCATAATCTATTAAAATATTGTTCTTTTGTTAAGTCTTAATTTTGATAAAAAGACCTTACCATGAAACAATAAATAACCCATATTTTACTTATTTAAGGATTACTAAAATACTTATGGTCAATGACATAACTATATTTTTTTCATGGCCTTGTTCCGGACATAACTTTTTAATTTCTATAATGATTATCGATAATAACAATCAAAAACGGAAAAAAGTTTTGCGCCATCTTTCATTCATTTCATTTTCATTTTACATGTAAAAATTAATTTATTTACTTGACATTGGCAGAATTGTGCGAAATGCGCAGATAAGCCATTAATTAAAAAAGAAGAAGAAGAAGGTAATAACAATGTCATGTATGACAATGACATAACATTGACAGTGATCGCTGCACGTTGTACGACAGTGTTATTGATTGTCTACTTTTCGTAAATATTTCGAATATTTTATTTAAAACAAATTAAACTTCACTGACTTTTAGAAACTATAAAGTATATAAGTTCCTTGGAAACAGTTTCGACAGTTTGTATCTTTGTGTTTTATCAAAATGTCTGATGCAATAGATGAATACTTTGATGAGGCTTTAGCCATCGTCAAAGCCGCCGGAAACCTTATAACAGAACATGTTAGCGGGTGTAAAGCCTTCGAATACAAGTCATGCGATATCGACTTAGTGACAGAAGTGGACAAGAAAGTGGAAGAGACGCTCATAGGTGGATTGTCGAAAAAGTTTCCTGAACACAAGTTTATAGGAGAAGAGTCGACCGCCGATGGTGCGAAATGTGTATTGACTGATGACCCGACTTGGGTCATTGATCCTGTAGATGGCACACTCAATTTCGTTCATGGATTTCCTCATAGTTGCATTTCTCTTGGACTTGTTATAAATAAAGAATCTGTGGCCGGCATAATATATAATCCATTGATAGGACAATTGTTCACTGCTAAAAAAGGTCAAGGCGCCTTTTATAATGGTAGGCAAATCCACGTGTCCAAAGTGAAAGAGTTGAAAAAAGCACTGATTGCATTTGAGGCTGGTACAAGTCGTGATGAAGAAAAATGTAGGGTTGTATTTGAGAACTTTAAGATGGTAGTTAATAAAGGTCACGGTGTGAGGTCACTGGGTTCTGCAGCATTGAACATGGCTATGGTGGCTATGGGCGGTGCGGATGCAAATTTTGAGTTTGGTATACATGCATGGGATGTTGCAGCTGGAGACATAATTGTTAGGGAAGCCGGCGGAGTATGTATAGATCCATCTGGGGGGCCTTTTGATATATTGTCAAGGAGGGTTCTGTGTGCTAGTTCCAAAGAGCTTGCACAGGAAATAGTAAAGGAACTTGCACAATATTATCCAGAACGGGACTAAATGAGAATTGTCACTATTGTAACTCACAAAGTGATGGTTGATGCAATATTATTATGTCAACTTAATGATATCACTTATGGTTACATAAAAATAAAACGGATTAGATTTTACGTAGTGTTTGAATCTGAAATGAGTTCATTAAATTATTTATATAATATTTACCTCCATTAAGTTATGAAAATTTTATTCTGTGTTAATTGGTATAGAAAAAGCCAAAGAAATTATAATATTATATTTTAAAATGTTAAATGCTTTAGTAGCATTCAGAATTATACATAATTTATGTATTCATTTACATGCATTTGCATAGTTTGGTTTATATTATAGTATGACAAATATACATTTTAATAATAACAGTGAGATACTACATACAAATCTTAGGTTTAGTTTAGAAATAAAACAAAGTAGAATGTCACAATGTCATTTCTTTTTACAGTACACTGTTCTAATTTGAGTATTAATAAAATATATGTGAATGAGCTGATTATAATCTGATATAATTACACCATACCCTACTTTGAGGCGTTCTCCCAACCTGTGAGGGGAACTGCCCCTTTTCGGGGCGGGCCAAAATCGGGGCGAACCGCGCGGTGTATGGCCTCCGGGCCCATCCCGTGCATCGCCTTCCATGCGAGGGACATCGCTGAGCTTTAGTGGGTAAACTCCTGCTTCTTGTCTAGCCTCTTCAGGGGTGGGGCCGCGCTGGGTGAACGCATTTCTCGGCGTCAAAAAATCAGGTTATTTGAAAAGTATAGGTGAGGTAATGTTATAAACAAAAGCATTTTATTTATAAAATTAACAAAAATAGTTTGTCATATTTTTATTGTACTGTCCTGGCATATATAGGTTTATAATTTATTCATAAGAATGGATGACAATCGAGAATTGGAGCATATAGCACTGTGAAGGACTTTTTTACTGAAGGGAACTGGCCCTACACTTGTTTGACTTGTTTGACATTAGACAGCCATTTAGTCTTAGAGCTCTGCCGTCAGATCAGTTGAAACTAGTCAATCACCATTGACTTACCTGACAAAAAATCCTCCATTGCAACCTCACATAATCTAGATAACTAGCAAAAATTTCCCAGGGACTCCAGACCTTTCTTTAAGCGGTCGGGATCATTCCCAGATATTTTGAATGACCTAGCTACATATTAAATGGGCATAGTTGTTACTCAGGAGGTACTTGATCAACAATTATTATTTATTATGTTAGGTAGATGATAGGATGTTTTACAATCAACTCTTTATTGTGATTACATAAAGTTTTATTAAAGTTGATTATGCTATTTTATTACTTTTAAATTTATTCAAACTAAATCCATAATTCAGTATGTTAATATTATTATGCTATAAGTGTGAAACATATATTAATGGTATATAAATTAATAGTTAATAAGGATAGTGAATTAAATTGTCATGAATTTTTCATTATAATTTTATTTCTCATTTGTGTTCTCTTAAATAATAATAAATATGTATGTACTTAACTATAAACCTTATCTAACCTGAAAATAGATAATTAAAAATGATTTTCACTAAGATTTATTTATTGTAATATCTGTAATATTTGTTTTTAATATAAATCGTTGTCAAAATATCGACTTTTTATTTAAATGAAAACTAAAATACAAATTTCGGTGGTATGGTTCGTGTAGTACTGTATCTAATTTCATTATTATTATAAAACCACCTCTTGAGTAAATTGATTATTTTTAAATAAGAAATTGACAATTATAATTTGAACTTGTTGATACTTAAAATACACTTAACTAATAAAATAAGTACTAATTGTAAAAAGAAATATCTATTATTTTTTATAGAGATCCATATTAATGTTAATATGTACTTTGAGCTAGTCACAGTCAACAGTCAGTTAAATCAAAATTCATATGTCATAGTGTTGTCAATGTAAGTCAAATTGTTAAAAGTTTTTGTAAATGTCAAGTTGTAGTTACTTATATAAACATATATTAACTACAGTCGACATCACGCCAGGCTGCTACAAAATGCTAAATTCATGTCATGGAAATTAAGCTTTCATGTGTTTGTTTTAAAGTTCAAAATAGATTTTGAAAAGAAAAGCTATGTGTAGTAAGCCGATGCGATCTTGTGTGTATGTTTAACTAACAAATTCTGTAGTGTGTCGTGAAATATTAGTTATTTATAAATGATGTATTATAAATATTGATTGTTATATATCGACATAGTCTGGCTTAATAAATCTGAAAATTATAAAGTCCCACTTTTAATACAAGTCACTGGTCATTTATGTAAGGTAAAATGTCATTAGTTACTGTTTTCTAGTCACTATTGGTCGTAAGGGAAACATATCCAGGCTTTCATTGATCATAATATGTAATCAGATCCTTAAGGATTATCAAAAAGTTGTTAAATAAGAACAAATAATTCTATTATAATAATAGAACATTTTAAATTTGCAACAAAAATTGGGACGTCTTCTTAGTGAAAGTGGAATTAGTGACACCCCTAAACCTTAATGTAGTAGTCGTGTCGTTAGTTTTGTACAGTCAAATAAGTCTTTGTTCATTTGAATTATTCTCATTTTCAGCAATCAAAATCAAATAGTTGGTAGTCAATATGTCAATACTGTCATAAAAAATAACAGTTAAAATGTATTTTCAGTCAGCAATCAAAACTTCAATTAGTATGTCAGCAATTCAAAGGACAATTTTGTCAGTAATCATAATGTCAATTCTGTCGGCAGTCAATATGTCAATTCTGTCAGTAATCATAACGTCAACAATTGTCAATTCTGTCTGCAATCAAAAAGTCAATTCTATCGGCATTCAATATGTCAATTCTATCACCAATCATAATGTCAACGTCAACTTTACGCAGTTAAAAAGTCAATACTGTCAGCAATCCAAATGTCAATTCAGTCACCAATCAAAATGTCAAATCTGCAAGCAGTTAAAAAGTAATCATAAATTCAATCGTCGAGATTTCTAGTTAAGATGTAGTTTTCTTTTGTCGAGTTTACTAAATAAGAGTAGTCAGTCAGTCTTTTGATATGATTTTTTATGTCATTGTGGTCATATCAGTTGAGTTCGTTTATCAGTCTCTCAGTCTAATAGTCTCGGTATAGCTAATTATGGAATACGATATATGGAATATCGTAGCCAATTACGTCATAAATGGTTTTGGTTAAAATCCCTGCATCCTATAAAATAAATTTCAAAATAATATGTAAATTTTATATCGGTCTTGGTACTGCGTTTAATTTACCTAGCTTTATAAATATGGCATTTTATTTTCGTTATCATATCTTGCCCGGTCGTCGTTTCCTCATTCTGTTTAGGTTCATGGGTCGTGGAATCTCCTTCAAGGCATATGGATCTGCTTTTATAGATGGCATCCGGTGTGGTAGCCCATCAGAGAGTTCAGTCTTCTCGTCGTAGACCTTCCATTGAGAGGGACTGTAACAAAACATGGACATAAACATTTGATTTTTCTGCCTGAGAGATATATGGGTTAGCTAGAATACATTATAACTTTGTAATAGGGTTATATAGAAAAATCAAGGATTGAAGATTGGAATTATATATAAAGCAACTGTGCCTAGTAAGGTAAAACTGTTTTAATGAGTACGTACCTGTTTTCGCTTGGTATTATCTGAAAAGCAACTGAAGGTGTCTTTGCTTCATTATTTGGCTTTTTAACTTTGACTGCTTTCGATTCTATTTCATCCAAAAGATCCATTTTCCCGGGAGCAGATCTTTCTTCTATGTCAACGGAGTAAGGAACGCCTGGATTGTTATAGTTTTCTCTTATAATGTCTTTCTTTAGTTCAATTGGTTTGTCAGTCGGTATAACGTCAGAGTCACCATATTTATGTAAAACATTTTTGATGTAATAATATTTATTTGAGTTATCTCTACTTTGGTCGTTCTGTACATCGTGTCGTCTTGTTGGTCTATGAAGGTTACTGTAAGGTCGAGTCGCCGTCTCATAAAGAAAGAACGTAGATAATTTCATATTATCAGTCTGGTCATCATTTATAGCGTCAAGTTTCTTAGTCTCGTAAGTGGAAAAGTCTTGGCTGATTACGTCATGTCTTAAGTCAATTATGTCGGTCTCGTTATTATTTTGAAAGTGGTCAGTCATGTCACCTTTATAAGTGCCAACGTATCCAAAAGTCACAAGCTTGTAAAAATTTTCAGTCGAAGAACTAACTTTTTCTAGAGGCTGGTCAGCAGTAGCTTTAGTTGTCAAAATTGATTCTCCGTTAGATCGTGCGGAAGAATGCAATTGGTTTCTGTTAGTTGTTTGTGATGCTGGTCGGTTATTTCTGTAAAATTCTTCGTATCTACTGTCGAGTTGGTCGTCTTTTTTATTGTAATAGTGAGGTTTACTCGGTCGTCTGTATGTGTCACCGTAAGTCTGGTAAGTCACTTTGATTACGTCTCTGTCTTTATTTCTGTCGTGAGGCTTTCTAGTCGTATGTCGCCATGATTCAGTCGGTCTAGGTACATAGTTTATTAAGTAAGTGTATTTGTTTACATTTTCTGTCACAGTCAGAAAGTCAGTCGGTCTGTGGTACGGTCGTTTGTGTGACAAGTTGTTTACGACAACGGTCTGCACGTTGTGTACTATCTGTTCTTGATCGTCATCGTAGTCATAGTCATAAGTTTTCTCTGGTCCCTTTTGGTTTTTTCGTGTGTTAATTAAGTCATTGTTACTGTTATCATAACGTCTACTTTTATTTTTAAAGTCAAGTTTATCGTCAATTTTCTGAGTTACGTTTGATTTTGATAAAGTATTGTTAGGATTCACGGTAACGGTGGAATTGTTTTTGACTTTTGTTGTCGTGTCAGTTTTGTTAAGTCGAGTAGTTGGTTTTTGTTTTGTCACGTTTTGAGCTTTTGTCGAGTTAACTAGCGGAGGTGGTCTCTTCTGTGTTATTTTATTAGAAGCAGCTGCGGATAGTGTTTGCGTCTTTTTAGTCTCAGATGGTTTAATTGTTGTTGTTTTAGATTTAATAGGTTTTGTGGTACTAGAATGAATATCGTCGGATTTGCTTATGTCGTTATTTAGGTCAGAGTTGATTTCTACCCAAGGTGATAAGTCAAAGTTATTAAGTAAACCATTTTGGCACGAGATTCTGTCATTGTCAGGATTGTCGTGTGACAAAAATACGAATGGTTGTATGCTGTCAATGGTGTCTAAAGTGCGACATAGAACTTGGGCGAACGATATTCGACGAATTTGTTGTAATTGAGCTGGAGTGAATGATGAATCGAAACCTCCATTTTCGTACCTTTAAAAAGCAAACAAGTAAATCAATATAATTGAGTATTAATACAATTCTCAAAATAATTGAGAACGGTTTCAAAGAAAATATTATTTCATCGTCTTATGTATACTTTACCAAAATCTATCCCCTTTCCGAAGATTGGTAAACTGTTGAGCGATGATACATGCGAAGGTCGGCCCTACGAGCCCACCCACCACTGGTCTTTCTGCCATTCCTCCCGTGAACAAGTCGATATCATCTACATGTCTGAAATATTTAATAAAGATAGATACTTTTTGATAAAATGTATTGGAATTATTAAGAATAATTATTACCGGTATAAACTTTTGAACTTCCTTACTACTCTTTTTGGCATAACTCTGGATAGATCTTCGAATCCAGTTATTTGTGATAGTCCGCAAGGTTCCCGCCATGTTGTGTAAGGTGGCACTCCATGGTCCCTCCCTCTTTGAATGTTGATAGCGGCCAAGTCCATACCGAAATCAAAATGTGGCGTCTGGAATAGGTGGTTAGTGAGTTCCTCTGTTATGAATTCGTCGCGTTTCTGTATCGGCTGGTTCACCATACCGAGTAGGAGCCGATCTACGGCACCCATGCTCCAAATGTTTGATGGATTTGTTAATTCATTGTGGAGAGACACGTCTGAAATTATCATTTAACAAATAAATTACTTGCCTACCTAATAAATTATAGATGAAATTATTATTAATACAATATCTAATAAATTAGTAGCGAAAGCAACTTACTGTTATTAATGGGTCTGTGGAAACGGTCGTAACGCATCATGGAGGACTGAACCAGGCTGTGGCCGAATCTGAAGGCCGCGGAGCCGAAGGAGCTGGCCGGGCTCGGGTTAATCTTAGGATTGTACGCCTTGTAGTAGCCTTTATTGAGAGGTTCCAGTTCGAATAGACGCATAACCTCTCCACCTGTAGTGAACAAATTGAAAATTAGATGGCGTATGGTAGACTTGACACCGAGATAGAAGTGTATATATTAAGCTGCCATATGTAAGATTTTTTTTACTCGTTCGACGGCATTTATAAAAGTGGAGGTAGGTTATTTGAGAAATGCTAGTAAAAATGCTGCACATCACAATTAAATGCTAAAATGGATGGTAAAAGTATTATTATGAAGCAATTTGCTTACCTAGAACGATTGGGAGGAATTCCCTATAGGTGATGTGTTGTACCATCGCTCCCACTATCTTCCTTGTTTCCTGGTAGATTTTCTCGTCACTCCAATGAGGGTTCAGATGTGCCAATTCTTGAGCCATTCTGAAATACAAATATTGTAGTGTGGTGATTTGCTGACTATTAGGCATGATAGCTCTATGTTCTAATAAATAAAGGTACTCTTTGCTCTGCATCTTCATCCTTCTTAGCGAAAATAGCAAAGTGAGAGGTGAAGCCTGTTTACTATAGTTATCACTGATGTTTTCGCAAGCCTGGCGAGTACGGTATCCAAATATAAGGTAAGGTGATCAACAATAATTATAAGTTATCTGAGGAGTACTATATCAGATAGGAGGTAGTGATAGGAGTTGGAAGTAAAAAAAGGGCTCAAAGTTAAGGTAATAATATAATAATAAAATAATTAAAATACAAACTTAAATAATAGCTATGTAAGTTAGTTAGACCGAAGAAAGAATAAAGAGCAAAGGAAAAAAAGAGAATAAAATGTCAACAAAAAAATATACTTCTAAAAATAACTCATCGGCCTGCTGGCCAGTTCGTAACAAGTACAATCCAGGAGTGATCCGCTAACCGGTTGTGTTGCCGCAGCCAGACGATGTGCGCGGCCACCAGGCCCGGGTGCTCGTTGACGCGGCCGTCCCCGGACTTGAAGCAGTCGGCGGACAGCGCGCCGCCGCGGCACAGCTCGTCGCGCCGCTCCGGCGGCAGCAGCGGCCGGCGCTGCTGCAAGCGCCCGTACTGCAGCATGCCTGCGCGCGAACGGGACAGAATATATAACATATTTACTGACAAATTGCACGAGTTTGAGAGCTCACTCCCGTTTTCATTAACCTAGAACAAGACAGCTTAACTAGCCCGCTTATCTTAAGAATTGCCGAAGCAGATTAGTTTATTTTTTTTTCTTTTCCTTTTATCTATTGACACGTTTGTGACCTATTTTACGCAAATGTCTAGCGGAAGGCGCTGCATAATGCATGTCAAATTTAGACATCGCTTAATGTCGTTAAGTGTTTCGTAGTCATTGTTGATGAAATACATTTACACCTTAGGCGATTCCTAAATATTAAGACGGCAGATTTAGGCGACTCCTAAGTTTGGTGAAAACGAGCATCACTTTCATATGTCATATGCCTAAGTTGACAAGCTCACGATCTATCTGAATCTTAAATCTGAATTAATTAAAATATAGAGATGGAGCAGGCAATACTTAGCTATAGCTTGTAGTTAAAAAGCTCTGTTATTTTCCTTGCCTGCCTATCTCTTATTAGCTACATCTACATCAATTCGTTAGCAAAAATATATAGAAAGAACAAGGCGTTTGATCTATTCCATTGTGATCAACTACGAATTCTGTACCATCAACATATGTTTTAATTACCAAATGGCAATCTTGATTTGATGCAGTTGTCCGAACAATTCTGAAACACACGTAGGATGTATACATTCGACAACGTGTGCGCAATTTATTTGGCTTATCCATTACTCATTTGGCATATATCTATGTGTTAAGATTTTTCCACAAAAATAAAAAAGGTATCGTAAAAATTTATTTTTAATTTTGAATGAAAAATGCTTAAAGAATATCCACCAGCATATTTCATTAAAATTATTTAACAGTATAACCTTGTAAAAAAAAGATTGTAAAATTATAATTATTATTTTCAGTTATCATTAAAACTCAAGGAGTATGATATTTACATTGAAGTAAGTAAGGGTCCGTCCATAAATGGACCCCCCCCTCCTGTCACCAGTTTGTCTATACAAATTCTACTAAATATTGTTCTAATGTCACAGTTCGTCGACCCCCCCCCCCCTCCTAACGTGTGACGTAATTTATGGATGGCCCCTAATATACTTCGACTGTGTAGTCTGTAAAGGCTTCTAGTTACCATTTCGGAACAGCCTTAGTTTATCGGACTGTCTCGCCGAGCTGGCATACAATGGTGATGCGTCGATGTAGCCGGATACTTGGTTGAACTGCTCCCGCCAGCCGAGCTCGCAGCCGTCACGGGGCGCCGGCGACGACCGCACAAAGTCCAGGCAACGCACGCCACGAGGACCGTAGAACGGGTCCGATGACGGCACTGCGATCGGGAAGCATTCTGGATGCTGTTGATACACTAATTAGATTATTATACTAATATTACAAAAAGGAAAGTTTGGTTTTTGGTTTGATTGCAATATACTCTGAAACTATTGGATTGCGGGCGAAGTCGCGGGAAAACAGCTAATACAATTCACTGACATATGACAAGATATTATCTAGGAGATGAGGTGTTATCGGCAAGTTATTGGACATCTTAATAATGTCCATGGTAACAAATAAGGTGTTCCTTAGTCATTAAAAAACGTTTTAATTTTTTTTGTAGTTTCAGATGCTTCGCAGGCTCCTTGAATATTTTATTTAAAAAAAAATTACACGCATTTAGACCGTTTTAAAGTTATTTTATTAAATTACTAATGTGCATGGAAACACTATAAATAAGTAGGTATAATGGAAGTTTCAAGATTTTCTCCTAAGTCATAGAAGTTGCTCTTTGAGAATAGGTAGATGTATATTATGCCGAGGAACGATTCAAATATCGCAATTTTTTTATAATAATTCAAATATATATAAACAAATCATAATATGTATGAGGAATACTGATCGATCGTCTCATTATTAATGTTTAAGATGTCCAATAACTTGCCGATAACACCTCATCTCCTAGATAATATGTTGTAATATGTTAAATGATGGAAGTAAATTATTCTTACTCATTATTTGGAATATTAAATAATTGTGTATTTTCCTCAATTAAAATAGTTTCCTCTCACCATCAATTCCTTAGGCATAAATTCCCGTCCGCCATCTTTACAGCACCGCGGCACAGAGCCATTGAAACCCCTCGACTGCGAAGATGATGTGATGTCATGGTCCAGAAACTGTCCCCATTGCATCAGAAGATGTGTTATTCCAGAGTTTTCAGCATTCTCACTGCTGTGGATCAGTGCGCTGATTTCTCTAGCAGAAGGCAGTTTGGTGCCGAAGATGGAAACTCTAGGTGCTTGTAATCCATCAGAATATGATGGCGGTTGGAATCTTTGTACCGGGGTCATCGTGGAGCCCCATCGGGGACGATTGAAGTTGTTGCATGTTCCATCATGGGTACGGTACCTGTCATGAAATAATATATAAGAATATATTTCTTCTGGGCATGCTCGCCCCACTATAAATTTCATTTATGTGCTTAGGCTGGATTGAGCGGGATGTAAGACCATTGCAAATAAAAAAAAAACAAATTTATTATGTTGAATAGAACCAGCGAAAAAAATATTTTTGTTATTTTACGAAAATTTGGTGTCTAAGAAATTTCCTTATTTTTTTTAGGCTAATGATTGTAGGAATAGACAGTGCCTTTACCTTTTAGATGCGGGTGGACATTTAGGAGCTCCTTTGAAGGGGCAGCTTTGCATCAAACTGGATTGCCTCAGTGTGCTGGCGCTGGGGAATTGATCCAGCTCCATGCGACCCTCCAGCGCATCTTCGTTGCCACTGAAAATATAAATAGTAAAAATGCTTAGCGAGAAGTTAAGAATTTATGGAGTTTCAGGACCTAATATTATTTATTACTTCAGATTTGCACGAGACTTGTGTTGGTTAAAATTTTGAGTCAAAGTTTTAACATACTTTTTTCATTCAAATAAGTTTATATCGAACAAGGTTATGTATAGGTTTTTGGACAAGTTAGTATATTATGCAAAATTCCGACTTCAAGCCAACTTTCTACAGATATTACCAGTCTCCGTCTTAATGCGTCGTCGTTTATAAATCCGGATGTGTATGTCACTTCCATTTTAAAATCAGCTTTCATTTTCATCCGTTCTTTACAGGTTAATACGTAATGACAAACCATTTTTGGTGAATGATTTCTGAATTTAACATGTATTATAATCTTTTATTCTATATTTTGTCGGTTAGTGTAAATTTCTCTTTGACTCTTTGGAAGGAGAGATTACAACACAACTAGACACAGAAGGTAATGTACATACAAAAGAGAAACAGCTCACGCATAATAGACATGTTTTTATCTATATTAATCTTATAAAGTGGCAAATTTTCTGACTTAGTTTGTTCATTTGTAGGGAGAAATCTTCAGAAATACTGATCCGATCATGAAAGTTCATTCATCTATGGGAAGCTACATCAAGCGGGTGACATAGGCTATAATAAACAAAATTACGCGGGCAAAGTCGCGGGAAAACATGTAGTAATGATATAAAATCTAAAGATACTCGAGATCGTCTAAAAATTGTCGAGGTTTCACTCGTTTGTAAGTATGTACGAACATTGCCTTCTGTATCTTTTATTTGTGGACAGATACTGCAATACCCTATTGACTTGGGCGATCCTACAGCAAAACAAATGAGGTGTGTGTACAATTAACGCCATGGTAATGTTGTGATAATTGTTTGTGGGTGCGCCCATTTATCTTTGACCTCTGGAGAAAGTTCACTTTCGCTACGCCTCGTATATTACGGGTGAGCGTCGTCGACTCGTTTCGTGCCACGTAACATGGCAGCGGTTGACAAACATCTACTTATCGATTGATAGACGGCATATGTAAATAAATTAACGACTGTTTGTGATTTTGAGAAAATGAAAGCTTTCAGTTTTCTAAGAGTTTCAACATTGAATATCCAGTTTTGAGATTTCTGTGATGATTATGTCATTTTCTATCGCATTCCGCCTGGATTCCATTTTTCAAGTCCGGTTTTGTTATATGGCATTTGAAGACTGCGAAAAAGTAAATGAATGAATGAATGAATATCCTTTATTGCACTATGAAACATATCCGAATATAAAATATTTATATTTAAATTAATATAACATTAGCGAAATTGAAAATTTATAATTATTGAAAAATTATGATAAAAACCAGTTCCTTTTTATTATTGTTATGCCCGACATGGTCCATAATGAGACTTATTAAAATATGTAACATTATTTTGAAATACCTATGGAAACAATAAACTTATTGAGTATTGAGTATTAATCCAAAAAGTACATCATAGGAGATACAGTAGCACAAAAGGCAGCTTTATTGCTAAGGTAGCAATCTCTGCAAGGCGATCTGAGGCTAAAGGAAACGATACCAATCATGGAAATTTATTACGGGTTAGTGCATAAGAAGAAACAAAACATGACAATATTTATAAATACAAATGCCAAATCACGTATTAATTTTGAAATATTATCTGCAACTAATTTTGTAAATTTCCTAAGTTCTTAAGTTTTCAAAATCCAAACATTAAGGGAAAAACGAGGGGATGTAGAGACCAAATGAAACAAATAAATATAAGACAACAACACACATTACTAAGATCCCAAATTAAATGGCTTAAGCACTTGTATTATAATTAAGTGCTTAAGTAATATCAAATGAAAATAATGATACTCCATCAATAATATTACTTCTTCAAACACATCTATTTTTAATCGATAATTAAATCCAATTTTTAATCGATAATTCATAGCATCGCTATGTGCCATGATAACCGAATGTGATATTTGCCAACATACAACATCGCGCTTTGTCATTGTCATATGTATTGTATGCTTACCTTATACTGTGTAGTAATATGTGCTTTGTGTTGTCTAAATAATATGTTATTCTATTATATATTGACAAATCTTATAATAATACTTAGTAATGATATACTAGCAATTGATTAAAAATTATTTTGAGGTGAAATTATCGGTAAATGTAGATAATTAACTTTTCTATATTGTATCGGATATGAAGCTCTATTCATGAATCATTCGTCTCTAGTCGAGCGCTCGTTATCTATTGAATTCGCTCGAATGCAACGAGTGGTATGACCCACTTTTATTGATAAACGTTAAAACATTAAATTAATAAATGACGTATATGACCATTTTGTATACATTCACATTTTTTTTTAATTATTAAATGGGCAAAAACTATTTAACTTACAATATGAAGAACAAAATTCGATATTTCGAATCATATTGCTCATTTTATAGACGAACGATTCAAAAATACGAAAAATGGCGTGATGCGACTTAAAAGTCAAAGTAAGGTCTTATACAGCAAGTAGATTTTAGACTAGTGAATGAAATATAGAGCTCCTGGGTGTTGTGACTGCTGTTTTTAGTTTGTTGTTACGTTGTTACAGATTAGAATCTGAAACACAGTGTTTACAGAAGTAATATTATTGATGGAGTCTAATTGTTTTCGTTTGATATTTATCAATAGACGGAGTAATTCACTGTGATTGACGGTTAACAATGATTGTTAAAGATGATGGGGGGAAACACGAGAAGCGTTTCAGCCATGTAAATTGACCTGGATGAAGTCGGGACAGATCGTTAGTTTTCGCAACACTGCCAAATTGGATCCGGCTCGAAGGATCAATACTTAATTTGTACTACCACCAAAAGGTACATATTTTTGATTCGTTTCATTTGACCACAACGCTGTTTTATTGGTAGAGTCACATAGTACAATTAAAATATTTAATCGCTTATACAAGTGTGTGCTCAATCAATACAAGCACAGCCGGGGAGCAGAGAGGGTCGAAACGTCATATTTTTTATATGTTGCCAGTTAAACCTGTAAAATATACCTATTGTCTACAAGCTTAAATGTTACACTTGGTAAGTCATATACATTCATTTATTTACAAATATAACATTATAACTATTATTTCATTATTATTGTACATTTAATAAAATATTTTTTTAAATAATATTTCAATTTTAATATTAATGTTACAATATCACATTGTTTCTTTGTTATTATTATTATATTATAGTCCCACATATTTTATCTCATGTATTAATTAATAATTTCTAAAATTAAAGAAAATGAGTATTCCCTCAATCGCGTATTGATAAATTCTTTATCTGTATAAAGGGCATTTTTATCAAAGAACGTTTTAATATTTCTTTTAAATTTATTATTATCTAAATTTGTTATTGATAATTTATTATACATAAGTAACTTATTATATTTTCCTAGCTTTTGTACTTAGGTTAATCTCACTTTAGGTAACATTATTTTATGTTTGTTTTTAAGATTATATCCTTTTGACATAGTTATATCTGTTTTAATTTATTTATAATAAGCATTTATATATGTACAATGATAGAACAGTTATGATTTTATTTTTCATAAAATGCTAACTCGTTGATTCTTTTCAAGTAAAAATTCATATTGCTCTTTTTTGTGCTATGAGAACTATCTTAACATTTACGCAATTTCCCAATATTGTATTGTATTGTACTGTAATTTAATAAACATTGTACTTGTTTTCATTCGTTTCTACTTTTTATTTTAGATTTATCCTTTTTTTATCTACTATATATCTTCTCTAATTATATATTTTTTTTGTAAAAAAAAGCTCAATGAGGATTTGGTTCAGTGGTTCATTTGTAAACCTGGAAACATTGTAAGATCTCTTTTGTCAAAATTGGGCGACAATTTTGCTCATAATTGTTGTTTTTTTTGAATACTATATTGAATACTATTTCGTAGTGTCTGAAATTATTTATACTTATATTATAAAGAGGTAGAGTTTCTTATTCTGTTTGTTTGTAGAGGGCAATTTTCGGATATACTATTCTTATTATGAAAAATCTTTCACCTACGGGAAGCTACATCATACGCGGTTGTTATAGGTGAAATTATAAGGTCTAGGCGAAGTCTCGCCCGCGTAAATTAAAAGTAAGTCGAATTAGTAAATTACATACTTAATAATAAAAAAAACACAAACCTGCATTTCCTGGTATGTCAATAATAAGTCAAAGTCAATCCAAATAAGTGAATAAAAGAGTCAATCCAGTCATATGTCACTGTCATTTGTCATACACTGTCACAGTCACGTCACTAGTCAGTCAGAGGTGGTTTATTTCATAGCGTCTTAACTAATCAGTCTTGAGTAATAATTTAAAATTTCGAATTTGGAACGACTAGAGCGCGGATTTGAATTTGGCGCGGCGGATGGCCGTCAGTGCGCGTGCGCGTCGAGCCGCCATCGCGTACGTGCCAGACTACAGCGGGGGGAGACAGTGGCGACCGTTCAAATACTACCACTTCTCTAGAGTGTTGTTTCCCAACAGAGAGGTTGTATGTTGACAAACGGCCCGACTGCCACGGAAGGCTAAGCATCGAATCAAGTTTGTATTAACTATACCGATTTTACATGGAACAAATCGATTTTCAAAACCGTAGAAGCTTTACAGTAGTTATTCAGGATGGTTTTCTCGGAGTCCAAATCGACAATGGCGCAGTCATTTCGAATTCGTAACGTAAGACATGCTGTTTATTTTTACGAGATATTGAATGACGAGAAATACATTCCGTAAGAAGTGTGGATTATGAAATTGTTTGATGTTCGTAACAAGTAATGTCGAATAATGCTTGTTTAATTTGGTGATATTGACTAAATTACCTAATTAGGTAATATAATCTATTTAAAGTAGATAAGCATAAGTACAGTGCTGGATTAAGACTAATTGATTAGCAATACTTAATGAGTATCATTAAACATCAGTGCTCCCCCTCATTGATGTTTAAAAAAAGCTTTCCAAAAACTTTACTTTTGTGCTAGAAATTTCTTTCTTCGTACTGTTTCTGGGGCACCCCAAGACGTGATGTCCTACGTAATAGTTTATTTTACTTATGGGCAAATCCGACACTGCATACAGTATTATTTGAAGTTGAGCTTATGTGATTTAATTAAGAACTGTAGAAGAGTGGCCTAAACCGTAAAGAGCTTTTAATACTATGTTTCACGGTAAAAGAAATTTCGACAAATTTTGAAACGCTATTATGACTCCAAAAAACACTTTAATGGATAATTTACAATGTAACAAAGGTAGGACCTGACACTGCCTCTGATGCACAGATAATTTTGACAAAATTATAGGAACGTTTCGAAAAAATCCGAATTTTCGTCCGTTAACAAATAGAACTGGCCCTCTGTCGAATAACGTTTTCTTTTTGAATATCGCATATTAAGGCTCTCTTGTACTTCCGCCCTCCGCTTACGTTCCCATATAAAGAACACATTGAGAGTAAAGACGCGCTCGCTTGATTTCATACATTTTTACTTACAGAAAAAACAAATGCAGTTATAACAAAAAATATGTAAATGAAAAATATATATATTTTTTTTTTCTTACAGTTATAATGTAGAATCGATTCGAAAAATCTGTCTTTGCGTTTTTTGTCTATTAAGTCAATTATTGAAATTTATGTTTTTGTTTTTATTAAGTAATCGTTCATATCATATGTTTAATTTTCATAAAATGTTTTTTATATGATGCATATTGCATATGATATATATAGCCTTATAATGAAATTGGTTTAAAAAGTGGTAAATTCGTACAACCACGCCTTAACTGTAAAACCTGGGAACGTAAATACATATTTTTCGAAAATACGAATATTTCGGGGTCGTTATTATAATTTCATTTAGTAGTATCTCGCGCTTTAATACGTTTCATAAACGTCACTTTCTCGCGAAACATTTTATGTGATAAGAAAATG